ATTAAAACATCAAGTGCTTAAAATTAGGGTATTTTTTCTAGCAATGAAGCCATATATAAACCTATGTCAATGTCAATGGACAAATTCTTTCTGCAAAATCCGAGCAGTGGAGTTATTTAGGTGACAGTGTCACTGAGTATCTGAGGGAATGATATCTACAGAGAGAACCGAGGAGTCATCCAACTGCGGCCGTGTGTGAAGGGGAGAGAGAGAGAGAGAGAGAGAGGAGCACAATCTTAATATGGACAGAAACGCGGCAAGAAAAGCCTTCTTTCTGCTCACCCTGTACTGCTGGAAGCGATTCACAGAGAGAGAGAGAGAGAGAGAGAAAACTGATCTTTACTCCCTGTTCCTTGGTGCATTAATCAGTATTGAGAACATTTCGGGCATAATGCCATTCCCGAGTAACTTCGGGAAGTTCCTCTCCCATCTCCCGCTGTCCATCTTCTCTTAACTACTCTACTCCTCAGTCAGGAAGAAATAATTGATGAAGTATGTAATGTTGGGTTGGCTCTGATGTACTTTAAAAGCTGCGCTGCTGACAAACTGCTATTCACACCCACTTCCTTTTAAAAGTAGTTTATTAAGGATTCTGGTTGGATAAATAGGTTTTCTCTTTTTTAGTTAAACTGTGAGAGCTCTCCAATACAGTGCGCCACAGAGTGGTGCTGTGGGGATTTGTACCCACGGACATCCCACACAGATTCCCTGTCCGAGCAGCTCTGCCAAACTGCTGAATCAGTACAAAGAATAACAAATACGCTTCTGAAGATTGGTACCTTCGAGCCGATCTCAACACTGTTTAGTGTACAGTTACAAAGTAGAACGAGAAATGTCTGAAAACAATTTGGTCTGATGCCTGGTCAGTCAGGTAAAGGCAAAACAAACCAGGAGAAAGGGGAAGGTAAATGCAACAACCGACCAATCTAACCTCCCTCAAATTAAATATACAATGATTGGAACCAATTTGTACCCAGGTTTGTTTGTAAGGCCTTTGGAGGTATCCACTTCTCCAACTTTGGTCTTGTATAATAATAAATATAATTCTTGTATTTGATATAGCGCTTTTCCACGTCTTCTAGACATCCCAAACCACTTCACAGAATATACTGTAAAGTGAATTGACTGCATATTTTGTGGGTGAAATATTTGTATGTACTCTTACATTGATATTTGCATCTTTGATAACTAGGAATATATTTGAGAAAAATATAAAAAAAAACTCCATCAAGGGATCTCTTCAACTCTTTGCCTCAATGTATATTCTGTTACAATGGAGTCTCAGCTAAGTTAGGTTTCATTTGGTAGCACTCTCACTTTTGTATCTCAAATGTTGTGGGTTCAAGTCTCATGAGGGAGCTTTGAGCTAAGAGAGTTTAGGAGGAAGTACTGCACAATGAGGGTAGTGTGATTGTGGAGCTCACTGGCTGAAGTGGTGGTTGAATCAAATAGTATTGATGAATTCAAAAGGAAGTTAGACCTTCACACGAGGGGAAAAAAAGAGCATGGGAGGGAGAAAGGAATGGGTGAAGACTCATGTGGAATATGAACACCATCATGGACTAGTTGACTGAGAGACCTGTTTCCTTGCTGTACATTCTTTGTGAACTATCATTTCCCCAGAAGAAATGTGGTGGAACAGATATATTGCTCTCCAATTCTAATACATTTTGTGCCTTCCAGCTGACTTTCTTAAACATACTGTTATCAGAAACAAATAGAGTGGTAACCTTGACCCAATCTGCTATGTGTCTTAGCTCAGAGAAATACTCTTCACATTTTGGAAATATTGCTCCACAAAAGTCTATCAAGTAGAATATTTGCTTGTATTTACATATATATTTATGTAAATATATATGGAATATTTAAGTCTCGAAGACGTGATAAGGCGCTATATCAAATGCCAGGGTTATTATTATATTATTTAACATAGCATAAAATCAGGACAAAATGAGGTAAAAATGAAATGGAAACTGGAACCAACCAACTGGAAAATGAAGAGAGATGGATACAGAATATGAACAAAATCTAGAATGCGAGACTGTTCTTAGAGAATTATCCAGATTCTGGGACAGAGTCAGCAAAACTGGGTCATTTTGTTCATCTGGGACATGTGGTCACCTTGCATTCACGAAAATGCAAAGAAATATAGGACATTGATTGCTCTTCATTGCTCATTTAACTAAATTTTGAATTCTGTCACAACATTTTCACAAAGAAAGTCACGCAATTATGTTTTGCACAAACTGGTAAAATTTGGGTGCAATAGTCAATCACAGTCTGCATCAGTTTTCTAATCAGATTCTCACTCCCATCACTATAGTACATGTGCTGTTCTATTCTCCCCTACTATTTTAGGCGATTGCTGCCTCCCCAACTGCAACAAACTAGGAATATTTAAGGAAATGTGTAAAAAAAAGTTTATTTCACCGAGAAATTTATTTTCTCTTGGAAGCATTTTCTTTACCCTTGATTTTTCCCTAAGATGATCCTCTTGATATTAGGAATTCATAGTGGAAACTATAAGAGAAAACTGGATCCCATAACTCCACAGATTTAACATACCAATATACTGTGCAACTGGAATGCTTACAACTAGAACGTGCTGAAATTGTAGTGGATTTCTGCCATGATTTTCTCAGGAATGTTTTGAGGTTATATTTGAATTGTTATGAATTCTATTTGGTAATTCTAAAACTAAGATTTTTCTTTTAAAGGTCCAGTAAGAAGGAACCTTATTTACATAAGTTATTTATACAGAAACTTGGATGAAATCATTGCAACTCTTCAAAAATGAATGGAAAAGAGGCATTCAGCTTATGTTAGCACACATCGGCAAAATCACTGCACTTAATAGCATGAGGAATTTCTTTTTCAAAGTCTACATTCTTATGTCGCCAGTAACAACAAGCCAGAGCTTAGTATTTAAACATTTAGGTCACTTCTGTTATGACAGTTCATGGCAGTTGACTGCAATTGTAATTTTACAAATTTAAATCTTTTAATTCACGTAGGGTTTTGCCCAGGGAATTGTTTTTTTCCTGCCAGGTGAAATCAACTAACTATCAGGAATCAAACTTAAATCCATGCTGGGCAGTGCATTTGCCGACTAAGCTCATCCTTGGATAAAATTTCACGTCACACATCAATTACGACATAAACACTATCAAATGGACATTAAAGATCCCATGGCATTATTTGAAAAAAGAAAGTATTTTCTGATGCCTGGCCAGCAATTTCTCAGATAACATTTGTCCAGCACTTTGGGACGTCCTCCTAACGTGAAAGGCGCTATACAAATGTAGTTTGTTGGTGGTGTTATTCGCTTCATGGCTGTTTGTAGGATACCGCTATGCACAAATTGGCTAGGCACCACACCTTACAGTAAATCCTGTGAGGGACTTGAGATATCAATAATGTGATATCAAAAAGCAAAGATTATTATAAAATGGAGAATATTAATGAATCTTCAACCCTAAGAATAATTCCCACTATTAGAGAAAACATAGAAAATAATTTATTTAATCATTAATGACAAATTTGTGGTATAAGCATGAGCAGAATATATTGTTTTCAATATATTTCTGATATATTGGGACGTCCTCCTGACGTGAAAGGCGCTATACAAATGTAATCTTCTTGTTTTATTCAAGGTCAATTGTAGCCCATGTTGAACAGGAGATTGGACTTTCACAGTACGTTGCACGGGATCATCTTGGGATAGCACCAGTTAGAACTATTTATCAGTACAAGGAGGCTCTTCCTTTACTCGGCCTAAACACACTGCAGTACCGGATCAACATTGCCTCAATACCTCAGGGCAATTATTGGATGCTTGAAATTTGGCTTGACCCTTTTGTATCTGATATTGGATCTCATTTTCTATACCACTAGCTTCTTTCAGGCTAGAATACATTACTCAATTTAACAGGTCACATTTATACTGTTATGAGGGGTTTCAATTACATTCCTGTTCCAAAGGATGAACTACAGTATCTAACTAATCAACAATCTATTATCTCTTACCTATAATTATCAAAATTCTGTATGTAGAATGCACAAACATCTGTACATGACACACTTACTTGTACAAAGGGTTCACTCCATAATAGTGCTGATGGGTTTTAATGATGGGTTTTAATGTTAAGATTAACATTCAATTCATTCATATTCCCGCAAATGGTCAGCTTGTCCAATACGACAGGGTGTTACATAGGTGGCCTCTGAAAGATGTTAATACATAATTGATAACTCTTCCAGTGTTCCTTCCTTTTTGCTGAAGGCCTCAGAATGTCATTCTATTGGGGTATTTGTCAAAATATTCATGCTTCCAACGCAAGCCTTGACTGTTGGCAAGCCATATGACTGCACAGAGCATCACAGCCAAACTGTCCTCACACACAATTTATATATATCAAGTGTTGCCCAAGCTGAGATCAGCTTACTCAAAATATAATTCAAACTTGCAACTTGCTGATGTGTCTGGCCTACCACTTCAGTACCTTTATCTAATAGATTGTCAGAGAAACTTTAGTTAATATTTAAACAATGATTTAAAACATTTCAAAATGATGATTAAGAAACAGAGCCCAAATTGTTTTCTGCTTGGTGTATGCATTTGATTGCCTGGATATCATAAAGCATCTGTAAATGCATTGTCCAAGTAATTATTTCAACAACAAATTGCATTTATATATTGCCTTTCAGTCAGGGGAAATGTCCCAAAGCACCAAATGAGTGGTTTGCATCTGAGCTGTGGGTTGGGATCAGAGAGAAGTGGAGGGAAAGGAGGTAGACACAAATATAAATCAGACCAACCTGTTGAATATGTATGCAATGGATATGTGCATTTTATCCTCTGCTCATTGATTAAATATCAGATTTGTTGTTGATTTCAGATTGCCAAAATGATATTGTGCATTTCATAATTTATGTTCTAATGTATACATATTACTTGCAGTTAAACATGATTTTCAATGTCATTTGAATCCACACAGGTGTTAATTTTTTCATTTATTTCACACTACGCTCCTAGAATTATAAAATAAAACCTAATTTGCAGGTCAGCACACATTTTATTGGGCTATTTGTATACAAGCAACCTTTCAGAAACAATCAAGGAAAACCTAAAAGAATCCAATTTTAGAGGATTATTTACATAAAACCTTCTGAAGCTTTTTAGTAAAATTAATCATTCAAAGTCTAAAACTAAATAAAATATATCCCCATTTAATTATCTACATTCCAGAGCATCTGGAAATCAACCAGGCACAATGAAAATCATTTCTTTTTTGCACACCTTTCTATATACAATGTATTTCCACTCCAGGTGAAACTGTCTATTTAATTTTAGTCTTTAAATCTAAATGTACATACATTTCACACTGTTAATAGCAGCACTTTTATCCATTCAATTACAATGGTCATTTCCTCTTATCCCCAAAAAACAGTTCAATGGATTGACACTACATGGTCTGAGAAGAGGACAGCAGTGAGTGACACAACATAATAACAATACAACATGACAACACACACACACATTCTGGACAAATTCAGTCATAACTATTGAGTAACAGACCATGAATACTGTAGAGAACATGGACAAAGCTATGTTCACTCTTTATAATGATGTAACAGTCATAAATTAATCAGAAAATTGCATCATACACAAGAACAAACAACAATGAGGGGTACTATTGCAGAGTATATTAAACCTGCAAAAANCCTTTTAGCACAATACCAGACTTTACATACATTGCAACTCTCATTAGCTGTTGAGGATTATGATTTGTTCTGCGTGCTGTTTTTAAATATACTTCCTTGCTGTGCTGAAAGCTACTGAAGACTGAATACACTTAATATAAGAGCTCTTTATACTGAAAAGACTATCACAAGTTATTCACACACTAAAGGCTGCAGTCATGCATTGTATTTTCATTACTTTTTTTNCTCCCTGTTCAAGAAAATGGCTTGACAATAGCATGGATTTGAATGGTTGGAGCAAATGAAAATCTGCAGCTGTGGTATGTATTCCAGTTTATCTTCAACCCAGTTAGAACAGTTCACTCAACAACCACAAAGTGCTTGGAGTGCTATCAGCCAATGCCAGTATATTCTTGATGTCTTCTACTGCACGTACGTTCAGCTGCTGTGGACTTCATCAGTTGTGTCTGCAGTATCCAACATCTGTCCATCTGTCGATCTTCGTGCACGCCAAATCCTCACAGTTTGGTCGCTATGAAATTTTTTAAGAGAAAATAATTTTTAAAAACTAACTTTTGAATGAGATTGCAGAATGAGATTTAGCAATTTATTAACAGTGTCATCATCACATTTTGAAAGCCATTGTTCCATACTCACTCTGATGCAGTAAAGCTATGGGTAGAGTTGGTACAAATGGCATTGATAGGGCTATCATGCCCCCTCATCTCCCCAAGTGGTGAAAAGCTATCCACTTTCCAGACCTTAAGAATGCCACCTCTGCAGCCACTAAGAAGAATTTGATGGCCAGGTACAATTCCCAAAGCACACACCCAGTCCTTGTGGGCATTTGGAACTTGCTAAAACAATAGAAAAGATCTTTAAACTTTTGAATTTGAAACGCATATAACTTTCAAAAATGTAATTTAATAACCCATACATTTATAATTGAATGTGCTTCTAAAGTGTAGATGCTTCTGAAGTACTTACTGCAACCATAGGTATTTTACATGTTACATTTAAAAAAATTTGACCACTGAATTGAATAAAAGCAAAGTGTGAATAACAGGGCCATTCAGGTTTTTAAAAAAAGAGTTGGGCAAATAATGATTTATTTTCTGGATAGTGTTAAAAAGATCAAAACAGTCTAAACAATTGAACAAGTACATCAAAATAAATTCTAACCCAATTTAGAAAATGCAATTATTTTATATTTTAACATAAAATAGCAATGCTTTCCAAGTGTGAACAGAATTGGGCTTCACCATGACATACTCCATGGTCAAAAAACTTGCTGGCAATTCTAGGCAGCAAGAATCCAGAACAGGGTCTCGGGGCATTTAACAATGGTGGAGCCTGATGGTGAGCTAGGGGGAGGGAGGAGGTGACTGTAAGCATGGTCGAAGAGGAAGGTCTTCAGTCTTGATCTAAGAGGAGGTGACAAGGCAGAAGGATTGGGGGTGAGAGTTCTGTGCGTGTACTGGCTGAAAACGCAGTCCCCAATTGTGGAGGGACAAACAAGTGGTCAGAGACAGTGGATAGTAGAGTAGGGAGAAAACAGGTCAGAAAGGTTGGGAGGTGCCAGGACATGAATGGATTTGTAGACGAGTGTGAAGATCTTGAAATCGATCAGCTCTGGGATAGGAAGTGGAGCCGGGTGTGGTGGTGATATAGTGTGATGGACTGTGTGATGGGGGTGCGGAGTTTAGTGTGGGTGAGAATACGAGTGGCAGAGTTCTGAATCAGTTGTAGTTTGTGGGCAGTGGAGCTGGGGAGACTGGTGAGGGGGCCATTTGAATAGTCGAGGTGGGTGGTAATGAATGCTTGGACAAGTTTCACCTGCCTTGGAGGTGAGGTATGGTTGAAGGCAGGCAATGCAATGGAGGTGTAGGAAAGTGGTCTTGGTTAGGGACTGGATGTGGGGGGAAGGGGTCGAACGTCACACCCAGGTTACATACATATTTGGTAAGTCTTACGGAAAGGCCACGGAGGGTGAGGAAGTCAGAGTCGCAGGAGAGAAGATGATGACAGGTACCAAGGAGTATGGCGTTTTGTCGAAGTTCAGCTGCAGGAAGATTGCACTCATCAAGGCCTTGATGTCTGACAGGCAAGCTGACAGAGCATCAGAGGACCTGGAGTCGCAGCTGTTTGAGGAGAAGTAGATGTATGTCATTCGCATACATGTGGAAGCTTACCCCATGCCTGCGATGACATCGCCCAGAGGGAGCATGTAAATGAGGAGAAGCAGGGGGCCAAAAATCAAGGCTCACAGGTACTAACTATCCTCTTGGATGAGATACCAGAAGATACCTGTGGAATCATCGCTCAGAAGCGACAGCTTCAGGTAGCTCATATGGAGAAACCCTCCAGGCAGAAAGGTGGGCTAAATAACCCATTTCTGTTTCGTAATGTTCTAGAGTTATATATAAAAAAGAATATTAACACTAAAAATACTGATTTTCAAATATACATACCTGAAGAAGTTCTTGTTGGGCCATGTCCCATTTTTTTATCCCATTATCTCTAGACCCACTGAACAAACTGTCACCCAAAACTGTTAATGATTCAATACCATCATAATGTGGTGGCTCAAAGTTGTAGGTGGGGCTTACAGTTCCAATAGCACCTTCAGTAACATCAAACATCTAAATGCAAGGGGGAAAGAATTAGACATTTTAAATAACAGTCTAATATTTCTTTGCTGCTACTTCTAGACAATTATGTTTAGATATGTAACATTATAAATATAGGATATGTCAAAATAATTTCATGTACTTTCACCAAATATAGCCAAAAATAATTTCCAAATTGTTTACAGCCAAATGTGGACCAAAAAATACCTTTATGTAATGATCTTTGGACCCAGTAATAATTAGATCTTGTCCATTTGCAGTCTGGTCCACTGTAAGGCACATAACTGGGCCTAAATGACCAGTCAGTTTTCCGGTAGATTGAAACCTTGAAAATAAAAATATAGTTCATCTGATCATTGTAAATGCATACATACCACTGCCATAAAAATGAAGTGTTTACAAATACCATTCATATGTTTGGCCCTGATTAAAGTGAACATTTGTGTAATCTGCAGGAGACCATGTCCAAATATTGCCCGAAATCAACCGCTAGAACAAGCTAGTCACCAACTAGACCTCTGATAAATTTGTTCACAATATTAAAACAAACCTAGATTTAAAAAAAAATAATTTAAGCATTTGACTGTTACATTTCATTAATTTAATATGATAAATGATAATATAAAATCATAGCAATGACTCTTCGATTAGCAAATCTTCATCTGAATATTGAGGTTTGTTTTTTTTAAGAAAATTTTGATTCAAATTTATTTAGAGGAGATAAAACTTTTGCCGGGAATAGGCTAAAAAAAAGTTTTTGCTTATGGAAAATGCATACCTTTTGAGATCCCACATTCGCACAGAGTTGCCAGATGCAGCATACAAGAACATTCCTGTGGGGTTCAAGGCAATTTGATTTATCTGATTTTCTCCAGGTGGGATGGTGACGGTCCTATTTTTTGTACTTGAACATGCATCTCCCATTGACACTTGGCCTGTTGAACTGATAATCGACAACAAATCTGTCATTCGTGTTATGTACTGTATACAATAGACATTCTACTTGTTAATTTAGAAAAAATAGTGTTGCTAATGATCTTAATACAAAAGTTGATTCAACAACAACAACAAAATTACATTTGTAAAACGCCTTTCATGTCAGGAGGACGTCCCAAGGTGCTGGACAGATAGAGTTACGGACCCGAGCTGGGGTCAGGGTGAGGGAGGGTGGAGGGCGGGCGGGGGAGAAGCAGGAAGATCGAAAGCACAGTCAAAGAGCAGGGTCTTGAGATGGGTCTTAACTAGTTGATTCACTCAACTAGTTGACCAATAAAGGGCAAAAAAAATAAGTTCTTAAAGATTTATTTGCTTGAATATGTATAATATTCAGGGAAAAAAATATTTTATTCAAACCTGACATTGTGGCAATTGTGAATTGTTTATTACAAATGTAAACTAAATAAGCTATATTCAGTCGTCTAGAACCTAAGATACATACATCAGTTATATACGTGCCTCCTTTACAAATAGTTCACGGGATAATTTGCTGTGCTGTGGGGTTGGGGAGGGCGGGTAGAGGGGAAAAAAAACATTTCGACTGTTTTGCAGGATGAAGAACAAGTTGCTTAATGAGTTTTCAATTTTGGAATTATCTAAGCAGAGTTTTCACTTCCTTAATAGAATGTATTAAGTAAATGAAAGGGTACATTTCGTGTCAATCGTAGAAGGAGTAGGCTGGGTTGGCTGAATAGCCTGTTTTTCAAGATGCTAACAATAAAATAAAATACATTTAGTATTGAACATATCCCCAGCACATTTAACACATTAAAAACACATTTGAAATAATTTCAAACCCTTATACATTACAAATCTTCATAATAAGAAAATGTAAGAATAATTACTTACGTCAATGTTCGAATACATTTGGCGGAATCTCTGATATCCCACACTTTAATATAAGATGTAGAGACAGAAAATACCAAACTCGAATAACTGCAGTATTTAACAGACACCACATTATTGGGATGTCCACCGAGTGACATGATTTCTTGTCCAGTTACTAGATTCCATACTTTACAAGTCCGATCTGTTAAGTTAACAGAATGAACATTGCAATTAATTTATCATTTATCACTGATCTGCTATCACACTCTATCTGTAGCTGGGTTCCCTCTATGCAAATTCCCTTAGCTGGCAGGATACCTAACAGGTTGAAGATTCCTGCACAAGTACCACAAAATGTGTTATGAACACAATTAAGAGCAATTGGTACTGGGGCAAAAAGGTTAAAAAATACATTTCCCTTGCTTCTTTCAATTATCCAATCAGGCAGACTGAATGAAAAGTGGACACAAAGAATCTATAAACTATTAAATTCTGGCCCCAGAACCTCAAATGCTGACCTCAAATAAGTTAACGGCTACATAATAGAACCATAAAATGGATGAGAATTTATGTTTTTAACACACATGAAAAATTAGAAACTAAATGTAGGTTTGTAACTGTAAATCCAAAAGTCCAGAAACCTAGGGGTGGTGATTCTTTGCTCACCTTATCAAAACCAAGTGAGGCAGCATTAAACAAGATGCTGGGCTATATTGCCAAATTAGTTGAATTCAAGTTATATAGTGCTCTGGTCAGCCTGCACCTAGAGTACTGCATACAGTTCCAGTTGCAACAACACAAGGTCTTAGAGTGAGCGCAGCAGAGAGCAACGAGGATGATCTCCAGTGTTAGGGGAACGAGCTATGAGCTATGATTAGACAAGAAAGGGTTCTTTATTCTTGAACAGAGACATCTCCAAAGCGCCCTTATCCAGATATAAGGTAGCTCAGTGTGGAGTCCTGTAGCTCAGTGGTTAGAGCATTTGCCTCGCAAGCGAGAGACCTGGGCTTGATTCCAGGGCGGGCAAAACCTTGGGCAAGTTTCTTTACTCCACATGCCTGATAATAATCCCTCAAGAAAAACAAATAATAAATTGATCACTTCAATCCACGACTATTTGTGGGACACTGCTGTGTGCAATCGGCTGCCGCGTTTCACCCACAAATATACAGTCAATTCACTTAACAGTATATTCTGTGAAGCATCTTGAGACATCTAGAAGACTTGAAAAGTGCTATATCAAATGCAAGGATTATTATATATTTATATAAAGACTCCCCCGCTATTGCACTAAGACCCTATATATAATTATAATGTTTGGAGTCAAATCAAAATCATGCTGCAAAACCGTGTAAAACTAAATGTACAAGACTTTCAGAATGATGCTAGTAATAGAAGTAAAAAGGTGTTCTTATAAAGGAGAATGAAAATAACAATATGCTTCTACAAAATGCCCCATAAAATAGACAGATGTTCCCAAGCTTTGCATAGCCAACATACCACAAGTTGATTGAAATAAATGTGAATACCTGCTACCGAATAAAAATAAAGATCAGAATTTGGTTAAAATTAAATCAGCAAATCCTGGGGCTACAGTCAACAGTTAATTTAGGACCACATCAACAGAAGCTAACAACAATATGTGAAACATTTTTAACATATATGAAGCAAGCTTCTCACCTTTTGATCCAGTGAAAAGGAGGTCATCTGTTGCATCCAGGCACAGCACTGCTTTATTGTGTCCTTCAGCAACATGAATACACTGAAGAGGTGCAGCCTTGCTGCCTTTGGAACTAGGAAATAGGTTAATTACTCCCCTGTCAAAAAAGTAGTAAAAAAAAGGTTGATTAATGTCACTAAAACATTTGGTTAGATCTTCAGATTAATTAGATGCATTAAAGGAAAATTAGTGATGAAAGCTCCTTGACTGCAATGCATTATGCTTTTAGGTCAAGCCACAACAGTTACAATACATCTATTATGGTGACTTATGAGCAATTCTTCTAATAATTCTTCTAATAATTCTTGTAATAAGAGCACCCGTTTATCTGCAATTTTGCCAACAGAATTCAGGATTCGTCCAACACAAATGAAGAAATCAAAATGGGGGAGGGGGTAGTGGAAGTACCTTATTCTGTTTGGATTAAGTCTGGAACGAATACTTTGGATTACTTCTCTCCATCAGTTTTGAGCAACCAATTTGATCCTAATCCTATCCTGAAGTGATGTTACAGTGGTCTCTCCACCACTGGTTTTACAAAAAAAAGTGCAAAAAAGTCAATTTTAAGACAGTTTGCAGTCGATTTACTTTTGAACATCAAGTTAAATCTAATTACACAAGTCTAAATATTGTTATTCCTTAAGCTACAATATGTAACATGATCACTTTCTGAGGTACAGAGAACAAAGCAGTCTCGCCTCTCGGTCGGAAGGTTGTGAATTTACCATTTCATGACTTTGAACTTACATTCAAGGCTGACATACCAGTGCAGTAACTGGGCGAGCTGTAATGTCAGAAGCCCGTACTTTAGATGAGTTGTTAACCTGAGATCCTGTCTGTCCGTTCAGATAATTGTTAAAGATCCCATAGTTTGTTTTTGGTCAGCCAGGTGTCTGACACATGCGGAAACCCATCACCATGCTAAAGAGCATCCAAACCAAGCTGAGATGGAAATCCCAGAGAGATTGTTGGAATGGTATGCACATGGTATGCATATGATATCTCCCTCGATTGACGCATCATTGTTATAATTCTCAGGTTCATCTCTCTCATTAGGCTCAGTATCATTAAGTCATAAAGATCAGCAAAATATATTCAAAATTATAGTTTTTTTTAAGAAATGAGAGTACATTGTTTTAAAGTAAAGTTATAAAGTGCTTCTAAAAAATATAAATTTTCAGTTTGGGCAAGTAATTGATAAACCTTGTAACCTGACCTTTAAAAGCATAAGATTTTATGATAACAATAAGAATTCAAAACATGCAGGATATTTTAAGTTGGTTGTATGCATTTTGCAATAACCTACAAATATTCCTCTTAAAGCAGTTTTGTCATAGAATGCAGATTAACTGTAAAAAACAAACATGCACCGCAAATTATGAAACCCAAGCATTAAAGAGTTTTTTTTCAGGAATACGAAAAGCTTCACCAGCTATAAAAAGGAAGAGTTAGGATGTTAACTCAGCAACCAAAGCTTTTGAAACCATTTAATGGACAAATGGAAAAATAAATTGAAAAATAGAATCAAACCGGCTACACCAAAAGATGAACAGCAAGCATTCAGTCTAGAAAAATGATATAACCCATCATCAAACAGCCAGCTCCTAGAAAACATCATACAAATTCAGTAATCCAAAACAATGAAAGCTGAAGACATCTCTAGGATTCAGAAGATATTAGAAGCCATGAGAAAACTACAATAGAAGCCTGTTCAACTGTGAGTGACGAGTTAGAGAAAGAGTACCTTTGCACCTCCGAAAGAGAGCAGTCACTTTCATCAGACCTACAATAAAACAGTGATGAAATTGTGAAGAGAAAAAGAAGATAAAACGCAGGGCAAAACTGCATTAAGACTAAAAAGTAGTCAGCTTCTGGTTGGTGGCCTTAGACAAATGAAATACTTCAAAATTACTGGGTATCAAAATGAATTTGGATAAACAGATATTTTTCATTGAAGATTTTCTTTTCCTCTTAAGTGCCACAATATTTACAAACCTAAAACGAAGTAGATATACACCAGTTAAAATAATATACGCATTCACAAAAAATATATACTGTACTTTTATTTTAGATGGGAAGCAAGTTGGTACTCTTTTACTATGTAAACAAGGTTTACCTCGTAAACATTTTTTGTGATATCTATTCTACTTTGATGACATCCATTATCCCATTTAGTAAGGCAAACAGTCATCAGATGTGCATAGCAATTTTAAAAATCATCCAAACTAACCAAAATATTTCCATCATCTCCAAATTTGTCTAGTTAAGATAAATAATACTATGGTTCTGAATGAATTTCAGACTTTGGGGCAGGCAGGGGAAGGGCTGGAGAAGGGAAAGGGGTACAGGAAAGAGTACTATGAAATCTGCAAAGTTTTCATGTCACATTCACAAATGAGAACTCTTTCCAGTGAAAAGTTGCTTGACAATTTTGTTTCTCACAAATCTTCCATGGTGAGAAAAGTACAAGTTAAAAAATATTGCATTGTATAAATTAAATGAAGTCACCTCATATCACAGTACATAGTAGTAGCAAATCTGAATTCCATTAACTAATTAAATTTATAATCAGAAGACTAAACAACAAAATTACATTTCGAAAGCGCCTTTCATTTCGGGAGGACATCCCAAGGCGCTGGACAGTGTACAGCATTTCAGACCCGAGCTGGGGTCAGGGAGGGAGAAGGGAGGGGAGGGGAAGGGAATTAAATAAATAAAATAAAATTAATAGATAAAGGGAATTAAAGAATGAGAAACAAAGGGCAATTCTGAATCAAAATGTAAAACACTGAATGTTAATGGAGACATTTAAGACATTTTTACCATAAATGCTTTAATGAATTTCACCTTACTCTAAAATACCGAAATAAAAATGGTACCTTAAATGTCTCATGAAATGTAATCGTTTTTCTAATATATTGTAAAGGATCCTGGATCTAATTGATTGAACAAACAGTTCCAAAATTGACATTATACAGATCCATGGTATGAGTTAACTAAGGATGGGTGTCAAAGCATTTTCTGAATGTGAGGTGAGCAAAACCTGAGATTAGCATTTTGGTTCTATCAAAACTATTAGGGTTAAGGAGCTCTGGTTGAACATCTTCCTGTTGCCTCTTTGCACAGTTTGTAAGTCATGCCAAAAGGTTGCTTTGAACTCAGCCCCTTGGGACATCCTCCTGACGTGACAGGCGCTATACAAATGTAAATTTCTATTGTATTAAAACTGATGGTTAATAACATATACATTTTGTGGGCTCTTTCTCAACGGTAACATGTGAAGGATTTTAAATCAACTTATAGATAGCTGTGAACAAATGAAGGAAATTCATCAGCAAAACTGGCACCATACGCAGAAGTGCTACATTTTCATGCCTCCAACTTCTAATGTAAATATCTCATATGGGTCAAATGTTTGGAAACAGCATTGCAGTGGCACAGCAAGTCAATGTGGCAATATTCTGCTCAGTGGATAAATATTGTTTCGAAAACTGAATTGTTCAGATTGTGAATTCTGAAAATTACAGCTGGGCAGATCTGGAAAGCTGAAAAATTGAGTTTTAGACTTGTATCATTTAAATAGACCAAATCTCTCTTGCCTACGCCTCATAGTTTCACCACCAAATAAGGTCACTGACCACCCTCTAAGTAACAGCTAATTGTGGGCGGACACTACAAAGCTACAACAATATTAATAGAAGACAAATAAACTTATTTATGATTCTGTTATCCTAAGTGTTTATTGCTAAAGCAACATTTCTACATTTTAGGCATTTAAATATGATTATTTTAATACTACAATCTAGCTAGTGCACTGAGACCTGTAGCATGGGGTTGGTCTTGTAGCAAGATTCTAATGGATACACACAAAACACATTCAAAGGAGACTAAAAGCAGAGTTTGATAGCTGTAGAAACATAGTTTTAAAAGGTTTTTTTTTTGTAGAATATAGCAGCTACCACCTGCAGTTCAAACTTACTTGTCCTGGGTGGTAGATGCAGAGACTTGGGAATTACTGAGGCGGGAAAAAACATTCTTTTCATTACGAGTTCGACTTGGAGAGGAAGGAGGCGAAATACTAGCCTCTGATGTTCCTGAATCATAACTGCAACATATAAATTTTATCTTTTAAGCCAGTTTACTATTTTCTTAAAAGACATACAACTGCTTATTAAAATGTTCTAATTATAGTTTATAATTTTGTTTATGGTTATCAAAATAATTGTCCTGAGCTTTTAGCATTGAGATTGTCCTGATCTTTTAGCATTGAGACTGTCAAGCTTGAAATTTGAACAACTGTAAAATACTTATTTATGACAAGGGGGATATTATTTTGCAGTGAATTCTAACAGTGCTGTTAATATTGAATCACAAATAGGAAACTTGCTGGGAATCAGAAGTGCATCATGCTCACCCACAGGAACTCTGCAACTTAGTTCTGCGCTCATCAGAATGGAGTTCCTATGGGTCGATGAGACTTCATTCCACCATTTCACAATCAATTGCTTCTTTGTGAATGTATGAAGTGATTTTAAAATTTGATCTTATTTCTAATTTCTTGGTCTACACTCAATTTCTTCCTCAATACTATATAGGGGCTTCTCCAATCTGATCATTCCCATCTTTTATGAAGTGTTACCCATTTTTTAACTCAGATGCTTGCTTACCTGGTGTGTATAACTTTATTTTAGTCAATCTTTGGTTTACTTGCATGCTACAGTAGCCAATGCACACCATGTTAACACACAATATCATCTACACTCATAGTCTTAATAGACTATGATGTGTTTCAATTTTACTTTAACAGCTACAATTTTAATTTTAGGATAGCACACCTCTGGGCAAGTTTCCTTACTCCACACAGAGCCTAATAATAATCCCTCCAAAACAAAACAATAATAAATTGGTCATTTCAATCTACGACTGTTTGTGGGACATTGCTGTGCGCAATTGGCTGCCGCGTTCGCCCACAAATATACAGTCAATTCACTTTACAGTGTGTTCTGTGAAGCGCTTTGGGACGTCCTCCCGACGTGAAAAGCGCTATATCAAATGCAAGGATTATTATTATTATTATTATTATTACACATCTCAGAAGAGCAACAACTTAATCTAAACATCTGTGGAATTTTAGATAGTTGAAGAAAATTATTAATGTATTTAGAACACAAACAGATAATTAATTTTAGAGGTAAATCTCATTTATGTGGAGCTAAATAAATGTTTGTTATAAAGCAAATCTATGCTAGCATGCTTAATATTTATTTCCTGATGTATGAGTTCAGTCCTTTTTATTGAAAGTATAGTTGGGTACTGAAACCAGGAGATAGACTTTTGTCACTACAAAGAGTTAGATTCAGCTGTATGTTGCCTAAATCAATTTTATTCTTAATTAATATAGTTAAATTAACTCGAGGTCAACTTAATTTGGCACAAGTGAATTATTACTTATTGTTACCAATATCATCAGTGTGGTCCAACAGGTGGCACGTGGGCCGCCAGCAGCCGGGCAGGTGATTTTATGTGGCCAGAGACGAATTCCAACTTCCACTCCCTCCCTCCCTGGTGAATGTCCTCCCAGGGCAGCGGCAGGAGCTGGTGGTTGGGGGGGGGTACGCAGCGCTGAGACCCTTTATTGCATTCTGTCAGGAAGGCAAGCGTGTCTATTATCAAACGCATCCTTAGCAACCAACCGCCGGCTCCCGCCAACTGCAGATAGTGACCCGGGCTTAGGAGAGAGATAGAGGGGGTGGGGAGGGGGAGAGGGAGAAGGTTAGGTGGAGGGGGGAATAGAGAGAAGGGGGAGAGAGGAGAGTGTGGGGGGGGATTGGGCAGGGAGAGAGAGAGGGGGGAAGAGAGAGAGAGGGAGAGAGAGAGTAATTGAGAGACTGGGTGTGTTTGTGTGAGAGTGAGAGTGTCCGGTTAGGATCCACCCTCTCCCCCCCACCTCCCACTCTCCCCCCCACCCCACCACGTTCCACCCTGCTCTAGACAACAACCATTTAAGTACCCTTGCCCATTAATCCTACAAGATTTGAATTTAAGACTTTTCCAGAATAATATGTTCTCTTAAAATGGGCTTTTAGGCTAAGGCTAGCTACAATTCCTGGCCTCTGACAACCTCATTCATACAGTTAAGCCTCACTAGTGGCAAGCAGAATCCAAACCTGTGCTACAATGGGACCACAACTGCTGGTTTCACTGTGTGCATGCACACAACTGCTCTGCTTACTTTCAAAGCACAACAGGCTCTTGCATTAAAATGATTGACTTTCACATTGCTGGATCACTGTCAACACACTTCCTCCATGATATGCAATGCTCAGGAAGGGATTTCATTGGTGACTGTATGAACAACAACACCAACAACTTGGATTTATATAGCGCCCTCCACGCCAGAAAGCATCTCAGAGCGCTTTACAGTAATGGATCCCAGGACCGAGACAGGGGGAAGGGGAGGAAGGTGACCAAAGGCGCAGTTGAAAAGAAAGGTCTTCAGCAGAGCCCTGAAAACAAGAAGGGAGGGAGCTAGGTGAAGGGAGTGAGGAAGGGAGTTCCAGACCCTCGGGGCATAGTGGCTGAAGGTACGGCCGTTATGACACGAAAGTTGCTTATTTTAGCTTCCCAGCAAAAAAATGGCAAATTTCTGGATGTCTCAAGTTACCTCCCATGTCTCTGCCTCCTATATCAATTTGCGACAGCAACCATTTCTTGACCCAGAAGTTGGCCTTTAATGTGGGGGCAGATCCACACAGAAACAGTATTATAATGTTACAACCAAATCAGTACTACCAATTAAGTATATTATAATTATAATAGAGCCAAAATATGACAACTTATGCAGCTTTCATCATTATAAGTTTGCTAGTGGGTAAACTAAGATTTTTTAAAAAAATACTGAAGGTGTGAAGCTAAAATATCGTCTTATACATACAATATTCATGCCACAATGGAATGTATGCGCCAAATTTGCTTGGACTCTTATTTTCCTTGGCAGCAAGTTTTTTATCTCCAAAATGAAAAGGCATGGCTATGTGGCATATCATGATTATGTTCTGCATATTGTATGATATCAAGCTGGTGACGTAATAACTTTATACGCTTTACCACTGCTCGAGGCCTTTGAAACTACAATAACTTGCATTGATATTGTGCCTTTCATACAGGGCAACGTCTCGGAGTGAAACTTTGGCTCAACCTAAACAGAAGCAGAAAAAAAGGACTTGGGGAATAAAACACAAACCACCAAGTTTCCAAATATAAAATTTGCAACTCAAATTAAAGCTTCTGAAGTGGCATCACCTCTGCTAATTTTCTATCTGACTGGGTAATGCAGCACTTCCAAACTATTCCAGATGTAATTGTATTGATACAAAACGTGTTCATGCTATCTGAAATAAACTTAAAATCAAATAAAGATTAATGCAGTACTTAAACTGCAGAGTAACTGATGTTTTCCCAATTATCACATTTACATTAGTCACATGGTTACCAGAATGTTGCCACAGTGAATAGACCACTAATACACTTTTGTGGTAAGAAAAGGTAAAATAAGAACATGCTAGAAAAATTAACAATTAAAGCTAGGAAACATCTGAATATAACATTAACTAAGTGAATACACTGAAGTATAGATTCTTGATTGTGAAAGAAATGTTTCTTACAGTTTTGGTTCTTTAATTTTCAATTTTTCTCCTGTCAGTGGCCCTCTATCATATATCTTCCTTCTGGATAATGGTGAAGGGTCAGGGATTTTCTTTTCTGCTATGGAAGGAGGTCTGGACCTAAAATAAAAATTCTTCTAATAAACAAACATATTTCAGGATGCCTAAAAATGGTAGCTGCATTTTAATAACAAACTAGGGGCCAAATTCCTGAAATAAACATGGAATTTAACAGAACTGGATGCTGCTTCAACTAAAATCAAATTTAATTCAGCTATGCTATCCATAAACATTATTTTACAAAGACAAAAATATGTACATTTGAGATTAACAAAGTACTTAAAACTGTAAGGCTCCTTTACATTTAAGTGCATTTGCCAACCATCTGCCTTCTGAATTTGTGCTTATATTTTCATATCAATGTTTTTGTGAACGATGATTTTGTTTACCTGTGTTTTGATTCCAAGACAAATTGCATGTGTTGATCTTCCAGGATTAGTGTGTATTTCCAAACATGCATTCTATAAATCAGCTTTGTAAAGACGTTGAAATACTATCTGTTATAATCCCATCACCATCATTTTCTACTCTCAAACAGTAGTTGAAGTTCATGTTCTAAAGCAGATTGTTGAAGGCCATGTATTAATGAATTTCCCTCCCTTGGCCACAAAGCTGATAAAAATAGTGTCCCTTTTTCATGCCTATCCTTCTGCAAGTTTCACCGTAAAACATGCACTTAGCGCCACCAAATCTAAGCAACATGCAATCAAATATTTAGTAAGAAAGTAATGTTACTTCATACAGACCAAAAGCTGATATCCAACAATGTTACAGCACAATGGATATTAATTATTTGCAATTAATTTTTGCAGTGCAGTGCAAATGATACAATACAAATTTATATTTATATAGTGCTTTACACGTCAGTAGAACATCCCAAAGGATATATATATATATTGCATCATAAAATAAACCCCTTTTAAAAAATGTTTTTACGAAACATTGTAAAATAAATTTTACAATTTAAATTTACGGGACAGGACAGAGCAAAACGTTGGGACAACTTTCCTTACTCCACACACACCCACACACCACTGTTGACCTAGCAGTAATTAGGAACCTGGTTGTTAGTTGATTGGCGGATCGCTTTTCCGGGCGGGAGTATAATCCCTTCAACAATAATAATAATTTGGTAACTTTAATCCACGACTGTTTGTGCGACACTGCTGTGCGCATTGGCTAACAGGTTTCACCAATAAATCGTACAGTCACTACACTTTACAGTGTATCCTGTGAAGCACTTTGAGACGTCTCGAAGATGTAATAAAGCGCTATATCAAATGCAAGAATTATTATTATTGATTTAAGCTTCATCTGCTACATCAAATATTTGTTTGTGAAAATATACAAGAATGTTTACCAGTGTTTTCTAGAACCTTTGCTCAACTAACATCTCTCTTTGAAAACCTTTGAAAGCCTTTTCAGTTGTCTATGCATTTGTAACTAAAGAATAAACATGAAAATAAATCTCTTAATTTTTTGAATCCTCTTATAACAGAGACAAATAAATTCAATGTCTCATCAATGTACTGAACTCAAATCCTTACTATCACAATGTCCTTAACTTCATCACAATATTATACTGCCTGAAATATAAGATCGAATTCTACAGAATTTAGAGTGAGAAAGCCCCAAAGAGGTTGAGATTCGCTAAGAAGATTGAAATGTGAAAACATTTCTCATCTGAAATATGCAGACACATAAAATGGCATTAAATGGATTAATTCCAAATGAATCCTTCCAAGTAAAAGGCTATGGGCCATAGCACACATAAAATATATTTTGATTCTCTAGTAGTTACAAATAGTTATGTCAATAATAATACTTCTTGCATTTGATATTGCGCTTTTCACGTCTTCTAGACGCCTCAAAGCGCTTCACAGAATATACTGTAAAGTGAATTGACTGTATACTTGGGTAAATCGTGGCAGCCAATCGTGCACAGCAGTGTCCCACAGTCGTGAATAATTTTTTTTTGAGGGATCATCATCCCCAGAAAAACGAATCGCCAATCGACTAACAACCAAGTTCCTACTTATTGCTAGGTGAACAGAGGCGTGTGTTGTAAGAAAACTTGCCCAACATTTCGCCCTGCCGGGAATAGAACGCAAATTCTCACTTGCGAGTTGAGTACTCTAATCACTGAGCTACAGGACTCCACAATAAGTGCAAAACAGAAATAAAACTTGCTATTTGCTATTTTGTGATGGTCAGGGTCCTGGTGTGACATTTATCCTAGTCCTAAATAATAAGACACAGCAAAATTTACACTTAATGTTAAAAAACCCACAAAATTAATTTACTTCACCAGGAAAAATAAAGAAGCTGTCTATAATCTGGATTGTAGGAACCTAAGAATGGAAGAACAAAGGAATCTGGGGATTCAGTTTCACGAATCTCTAAAAGTAGTTGCACAGGTAGATAATGATATAAAAAGACCAACGGGGTTTGGACTTTACATCCAGAGGGATAGAATATAAAAGCGAGGAGATGCTGATGAATTTATACAAAACCTCGGTTAGACCACAATTGGAGTCTTGTATCCAATTCTAGTCTGCACATAATAGGAAGGATATAGCATAAACGGAAAGAGTACAGTATAGGTTTATGAGGATGATACCAGGGCTGGCAGGTTACTGCTATCAGGATAGATTGGATAGGTTTGGGCCTTTTTTCACTTGAAATGTTTAAGGAGGAACCTAATAGAAATGTTTAAAATTATAAAAGGAAACATAAATCAGCTGCTTCCACCATTTGGAGAGTCCATAACCAGAGACAGAAATATAAGGCAGCAACTAGGGGATCTAAAAGAGAAATTAGGAACCACTTCACACTGAGAGGAGTGAGTTTGTGGAACTCGCTGCCTGAAGCGGTGATTGAATCAGATAATGTAGATATATTCGAGAGGAAGCTAGACCTTTACATGAGGGAGAAGGGAATAGAAGTAAATGGGAACAAGAAAGGAGTTGGTGGGGACTGTGTAGCGTGTAAATGTTATTTGGGCAGAGTGGCCTGTTTCCATGCTGTACATTCTTTGTAAATGGAAAACAATTCATTGAGAGCAGGGACTAGCTAAGTTCCACAGAACTCTTTTCTAGCCCTGTTGATCAAGCTATATAATATATATGTGTGTGTATATATATATATACATAGAGAGAGAGAGAGCACTCGATCAAGCTATATGTTTGAGGCTAGATTTCAAATATTGGGTCCACTTTTGAACACTGTATTTCAAACAACACTGAAGGACAAAAGAGTTCACATGAGAGAGCCAAAATGTTTGAGGATCTGAATTATTAGAACTCAACTACCTTTCATTAGAGAAACAATGAATGACATGGTACAGGTCTTTAAAATGTTCAGAATCAGATAATGGAGTTAGACTCCAAGTATAAAGCCAGAGGACAAAAGTTTAAAACTATTAAAATTCACATTAGCCATATTTTTTTCTTATGTAGCAAATAGTATGTGTGTGTGTGTGTGTACAAACTCTCAGATGAATTATTAATTCTTCCCAAATCAGATGGCAGAATATCTGGTTAGGAACACAACTGTAAATTATACAGATTGGTGCAAGCTAAAATTATTTAAATTCAGGAAGAATTTGAGAAGGGGGCAAAAATAGGCTGAATAATGGAGATATGGAGATGGACAAATGCAGTGCAGTTTTGCTATTAACCTTTGTAGATCTGATGTATTTGCATTGAATTGTCCCTTACAAAGTTAGATTGTGCAATTTCTTTACATCTTTCACAAAAATAGGAAAATGAATGAAGAATCCATATCATCATACAATTACCATATATCAGTTAATATGCTAAAAGTGAAATACTTAAGGATCCTCTTCAACCAAGTTTTTAAATATAATTTATTGTATACTCAAACTTTCTGTGCGTTGTATAATTATTTTCTTTTGTAAATAACAGCATGGAAACTATGCAAAAGACTCACCTATGCTAAATACATTCATGACAAGTTTCTAATAAGGAATTAAAAAGAAAAAGCCTGAGGAAACCAATGTAGCAACATGCAACAAGCAGAGGTATTAGTAGGAGGCAGCCAGACTTACATGCTACTGCCCAATCTAAGAGGTAAGCCAGATGGTGATGCCATAATTTCCCTAGCTGAAGCAGTGTCACTCTGCATAGTTACAGTGTCCTTTTCATTCTCTTGCACCTCGGCAACAGGCGGAAGTGACACAGGCATGGCAAGATCTCCTGCAACAGTATCTGAGGCAGAATCACTGCTATCGGCATAAAGTAATTCCATTCTTGTAGTTGTTCTCCGTCGTGCCTGTACAATAATTTGCAGAAACAAATGAGATGGAGATGTACGTAGAATTACATTGCATAGAATACACAGTACAGAAACAGGCCATTTGCCCAACTGGTCTATGCCGGTGTTTATGCTCCATAGGAGCCTCCTCCTTCTCTTCCTCAACTAAGCCTTCAAGCATAACCTTCCATTCCTTTCTCCCTCATGTACTTACCTAGCTTCCCTTTAAATGCATCTATACTATTAGCCACAATTACTCCTTGTGATAGCAAGTTCAACATTCCCACCACTCTCTGGGTAAATAAGTTTCTTCTGACTTCCCTATTTGATTTATTAGTGACTATTTTATAATTATGGCCCCTAGTTTTGGGTTCCCCCACAAGTGGAAGTGGATTTGGGAGCAGAGTCAGGAGAGCGCAGGGCGGAGCTGAGGCCTAGCAGCGGGTATTAAAGCCCAGTGAGGTGAGAGGGTCGCAGATTTACAAAAGTGATGTTGGCGTGACGTCACAATTAAAAAATGTCCTGGCCGCCCGTCAGTGCCATCCCAGCCACGACCACATAGCCTGAGGGCTGATGCCGTCCCGTGATCGCTCGCTCCCGGTCTCTGCCTGCGCGTTCTGGCTGCCGCCCCGACCCGAGCCTCCCCCTCCACTCTAAATGTTTCTCCTCCCACTCCCCTCTATCCGCTACTCCCCCTCTATCCTTCTCTCCCACCGCCCTCCCAGGCCTCTCTCTCCTCGACCCCATCACCACTTCCCTCTGCTCCAGCCTGGGCATCCTCCGCCGGGCCCTCGTGGCTCCAGGCGTTGGCTGTCCCAGAGCAGCAACCCCAAGTGTCCAATTATTCACTCCCTCTGCATAAACCACCTCCTTAAGGCAAACACAACATCCCCCTCCCTCATATGTACCCTCCCCAACTCTCCACTCACACCACACCCACAGCCGTCTCTCCTGTACACCCTAAAATCCTCTCCGCATCACTCTCTCCTCCCCCCCCCCCACCCCCTCCAGCAAACCCACCCGCATTTCCCTCCAAAATGTCTGTTCCCTCTCAAACAAAGCCCTCACCATCCATGACCTCATCCTGGATGAGCACCTTGACATTCTTGGGCTCACCGAAACCTGGCTCTCCCCCAATGACCCCGTCCCCCTAGTGGAAGCCTCCCCTCCAGGCTACTCCTTCTACCTCCACCCCCCACCCATCCAAAACCAACATGGTGGCGGGGTTGCCCTCATCTCCAAAGCCTCCCTTGGTCTTTCCCCCTACTCCTTTGGTTGCTTTCCCTCTTTTGAGCACCTCACCCTCTTCCACTCCTCTCTCTCACTGAAAATCCTTCTGGTCTACCGCCCCCCTAAGCCCCCTGGCTCCTTCCTCTCTGACATCTCTACTCTCCTCTCTTCCCTGTTCCTCTGCTCCAAACACCTGCTCATAATGGGCGATTTCAACCTTTTCCTAAACTCCCCTTGCACCATTTCTTCTGACTTCACTGCCCACCTCTCCTGCCTAAGCCTCACCCTTCACATTAATTCATCCTATCCCTCTGGCCTTCCACCCGCAGAGATCCTGAAGCAGCCGTCCAAGCTGCTCCACGGTCGCCTCTCCTCCACCTTCAACTTTCTTGTCCCCCTGAAATCCAGTACCATTTCCAAACCCACCCGATCCCCCTGGTATAACAGTCATCTCCGCTCCCTAAAAACCCAAACCTGGCTGCTCGAGCGCAGATGGCAGAAAACTGTTCACCACCAACTGTGGCTCAAGCATCTCCACAGTTCCTTGATACGTGCAAAAACGGCCTTCTCACTTTTTAAATATAGGTATAACATTAGCTATCCTCCCTTAGTTTGGTTAGTTTATCGATTATCTCACCCTTTTTATCTCAAATCTATTTATATCATTTTTGATCTCCTTCTACTGTCATGTCCACCTGATCCTTCTCCCTGGTAAATACTGAGGCAAAGTAATTATTCAATATTTCTGCCATTTCGCTATCGCTACCTGTGAGCATATCTTGTCATTCCTTAGTGGCTCTATTCCTATTTTGATTTTTCTATTGTTATTTATTCCAGGCAGAGGGCGAAACCTTGGGCAAGTTTCCTTACTCCACACGCCTAATAATAATCCCTCCAAAAAAACAAAACAATAATAAATTGGTCATTTTCAATCTACGACTGTTTGTGGGACATTGCTGTGCGCAATTGGCTGCCGCGTTCGCCCACAAATATACAGTCAATTCACTTTACAGTGTGTTCTGTGAAGCGCTTTGGGACGTCCTCCCGACGTGAAAAGCGCTATATCAAATGCAAGGATTATTATTATTATTATTATGTGTGTAGAATATTTGACTATTTCTTTTTATATTCCTTGATAATTTAATAGTTCCTCTTTGCCTTCCAAATGTTTTTTTTGACTTCTTTCCTAACCTCTTCGTATTCTTTTTTGTCATGTTCTCCCTTGTTGTTTATGTACTTAGTGAATGCCTCGTTCTCAGTCTCAACTTTGCCCTTACGTCTTTATTCATCCATGGTGTCTCATTATTGTTTAGCTTTATCTCGCTTTTTAATCGGAATTTATTTCTCCTCGACTCCATTGATCACCATTTTAAATGTTTCCCACTGCTGCTCTATCTCTTTGTTTGCCAATATTGTTTTCCAGTTTATTTTCCCAAGTTCCATTCTCATCCCCTGAAAATCAGCTTTTTTTCCGATCTATTACCCTGGTCTTTGTCATTAGTCTTTGTCATTGATCTTTCGCTGTTGCATGTAGAATGCAACAGGGAAAGTAAATTTTCAGCAGAGCATGCGTAATATTGATATTTAATATTGTTGATTAAACAAGGCATTAAAATAGCTAACAATATAGCAATGAGGATAACTCCCAACAAGCAGTAGCTTTCAGCCAAATTAACACTGTCAATTTAATTCAGCCATCTATTTGCCAGGTCAGGCAACGTGTGAACAGTTACAATCCTGCTTCACCAATACCATTTAGAAGTTTCACTATTTTCGAGGTGATGTCAGAATATCAGCAATCAGAGCAATAAGAATTTTACACATTTAGGAAACATTATCCAGATGTATTCGGATGACCTAGATCAGAGATGGAACAACTTGGGCCACATGCAGAAATCATTACACATGTGTAAAATAGACACGCAGGTTGCATTGGCCATGGTCATTCGTGACATAAATGAACAATTTCTAACTTAAATGTCTATCCTACCAAGGTATAAGAAAATAAAATATGATACCTTATCCTTTGGTTTGATATCACCAGTTAACTTCATAAGATCAGATGTCAGTGAGCTAACAATACAGGAGAAAAACATCAAATTATACAGAGGACCAGAAAAATTGAATGCAGTAATTCAACAATATAATTCTGAAAGACTATTACCCCAAATTTAATTTGAACAAATCTAGTCTGAAAAATAATCTATCAGTAGTATTTCAGATATCACATCTGATAAGACACCATTTTCAAAACAGCAATTAATAAAGAACAAGATCCATATTTTTGCATAAAATCAGATGTTGCCAGGATTCAGGAGCATACTATGATGTTGTACGAATTCACAAAAGTTAGATAGTTTATATATGCATTCTTTGAATATGGCTTGACTTCCTTACATAAATGAAATAGGCCATAATCTAAACCGAAGAAAAAATAGTGATTTGGTTACCAATCTTGATTTTATTTTAAGGGAAACATCAGTTCTGTCTCTTCGTATCATGACAAGTATAACTTTGGTCTACAAAGTTCCCTTTTATGAAAAGATGTAGAAGCAGAGATGGACGTAGTACAGTTAAAATCATCAATTAAAAAAAATTCCAGGCACACTGGGAAAAAGGAAGTTTTATATGTTGAGGTTTAATTATTTTCAAAGCATGAGGAAGATTATGCCCAAGTTGCAAAACACACGATTTTTCCTAATTTATTCTACATTCTACACACAGTCACTATTCTTTACAGTATACCCTGTGAAGCGATTTGAGATGTCTTGAAGACGTGATATATCAAGTGCAAGGATTATTATCATACACACATACGCAGAAGTTAAAATCCACCAAACATTTTACAAAGATACAAAGACACATTAATTGACACAAAATAGATTCCATTGTTGCAGCTTGGTACAGCATCCTACCTGCCTTCTCCTCCAGGACTAGTTACAGTTTCTTCTTCGCTGCTTTCCTCTCCATTTTCTACAAATTAGTACAGAACACAAATGTTATCACTATCATGTGCATCATAGCTAAAAGACTATTATACAGATTTCAGATGACCATGAATAGATAATACAGTATTAAATATCTAGGCCATTTGTTTCATCACGCAACATTTGCTAAAATATCTAGAGATCAATTGTTACTTGGAAGACATTAAAGTGCTGTTTGTTTCAAGAACAAATTAGACATACTTCTGCTAGAAAATAATATCTTGGGATACAGTATATAGTTTGGGACATGACACGTCAAGCGACTGGTGGAAGGCAAACTAGATGGACCTTGGTCTTCTTTCGCCTAGCAAATTCTTATGTTCTTAGATTAAGCCATAATAGCAAAATATACCTTAAAGCTAAGATTAGATTATAAACAACATGAATGTTCACTTATTTATATCAAGTGAACATTTTCCATTTGTAGTCAAGTTTTCAGCTGGCAGCTGCTAGCAGCATGGATGCCAACCATCAGTTCACATCCTTGTTATGTGTTACTATCATTAAATCCATCTGTTTAAACACATCAATGTTTCAAGTCTCTTTTGAAACTTGTAGCCGAGTGCCGGGAAATGTTTTAAACTTATTGGATTTTACATCAGACTTGCTGTTTGCACCAAGTTGTTCATATCAATATCACCTAGATATAATGCTGGGTCATTTTCCAGAAGTAAGACAGGAAAAGAAACTTGTACATACAAAACAGATGATCAGGAGATGAATTAGAGAATTAATTTTGTTCGGTGCAGGTTTGGTGCTTGGATTGGTACATAGATTATGTCACTCGTTGAATACAATTATACTAACTGGAGTTGCACACATTTAATTTATACCCCTGAACTTTACTAATCTCTTAACTTCTATACATAGGTCCTGAAAACACTTTTATGCAAGTTTATTTCGAGTGAATGCCAACCATGTCAGTTTTCCAAATAAACCTATTTATTTAATAGATTTCAAATTAAAAATGAAGTAGAATTTGATAAATACACAGAATTAAACTTCAGACGTGGCAGACTGAATGTTGCATCAAAACAACAAGCTAATGGTTAGTAAGGGTTGCTGTAATTTTTGTTTCAATGTGGTTCATTTCATTAAAATGCTTCTGATAAATCAGTAGATAGACTGGAGTCCAAATAGCTAAAAATATAAATTGGAATGTTTTCAAGAACATTTACAAGGAAATGTATCGTGCTACACAATTTCCCTGTTTGGATGGATTAATGAGAGTCAAATCTATTAATTTAAGTAAATTTGTTCAGAAACTAGTTATGCAATGTTGAAAAGTTATTACAATTATTTGCTGGAAAATACATTTTACACGTTTGTTGTATTTTATTAATTGGATACTTTAGGGGGACTTTAGACCTACTGAAATTTTTTTTATTTAAGAACATAAGAACATAAGAATTAGGAGCAGGAGTAGGCCATTCGGCCCTTCGTGCCTGCTCCGCCATTCAATAAGATTATGGCTGATCTTCTCACCTAATTCTGATTACCTGCCCTTCCCCATATCCCCTAATCCCTCTATTTTTCAAGAATCTATCAATCCCAGCCTTGAAAATGTTCAAGGACTGAGCATCTACAGCCTTCTGGGGTAGTGAATTCCATAAATTCACTACCCTCTGAGTGAAGAAATGTTTCCTCAACTCTGTTCTAAGAGGCTGACCCTTAATTTTAAGACTGTGACCCCTGGTTATAGATTCTCCTACCAGGGGATACAGACCGTCAGTGTCTACTTTATCCAGCCCTTTAAGAATCTTATAAGTTTCAATAAGATCCCCCCTAATTCTTCTGTACTCTAGAGAATACAGCCCTACATGTTTTATTTACATGTTTACATGTTTTATTTATATGGTCTTTTTACTTTTTCTCATCTTTTATGAAGGATTTGTAAATCTGGAAAGAGAATATGCTGCCACATTTGGAGTTCATAATAAAAATGGAAGGGAATTGATTACAAAAATATTAACTAAGAGGAAAGAGCTGGGAAATTAGGTTATTGGGGATAGCTCCAGAAGGCTAAATGATCTACTGTGCTTTAAAAAATAGCAATGCTCTTATAAATTACCTTCACTAATGCAAGTAAATAAGCTGTTTTACTGCTTAATAGAGAATCATTTGTATCCTCACATAGCAGTCACACAAGTACATAATCAGTCCCTATTTGCAGGAAAAAATAATAATCCTTGCATTTGATATTGCACATTACACTGTTAAAACATGTGAAGTATCTGTAGGCAAACAAGCAGCGATGTCCCACAAAGAACCAATTTATCTGGAAGATTTTTGGCTAAGACACTGGGAGAAATTCCCTTCTCTTTTTGAATAGTATCATGTGATCTTTAAATCAGAATAGACATTGGTTTGTCTCCTCCAAAGGACGACACCTCTTACAATGCAGCACAGAACCAGCACTGCGTTGGAGCTTTAGCCTGGACCAAGGTGGTACAACCTCTTGGTTGCCCTATTTGAGAAACACCTGCGGGCCACATAAGCAATATTTTTGTGTTTCCTTTCCAGAAACCTAACATTTACACAGCATCCTTTTCATGTCGGAAGGACCTCAAAGCGCTACACAGTGCTGGGCGTGGGAGCCAAGATGGGGAGGGGAAAAAATGACAAAGTCATGAATGACCACTGTTATGGCCAAGGGAAGCTACGATCATCTTTCCTGAAAAGTGAACCACAAAACGCTGCCCTCACTTCTCACTGGTTTCTCTCTCTCCCCTCTCCATCTAGCTCTCTCACTCTCAATCACTCTTTCTCTCCCTCTATCAATTAATCACTCTCTCTCCCCCCTCCCACTTCTCTCTCCGCCCTTCCCACTTCTCTCTCCACCCCTCCCACTCTCCGCCCCCCCCCCACTCTCTCACACACTCCCCCTCCCCCTTCTCCCACACTCCCTCTCCCTTCACACTCTCTTCCCCCCTCTCACACTCTCTCCACCCTCCCTTACTCTTTCCGTCCCCTTTCCCACTATCTCCATCCTCCATCACCCCTCACCCTCCACAGACTCTCTCCCCCCCAGCCCCCCCACCCCACCCAGCTGTGCGGAATGGCTCACTATCTGGCAGTGACAGGAGTCGGTGATGGATAGATACCTGTTTACTTTCCCCTCAGCTTGAGAGGGGCTTACTGACACACTGCAGCGCATTGAGCTTCGAGAGTGGAAATAAAGCTGCCCTTTAATGCTGCATATCAGTTAGTCCCTCTTGAGCTGAGGGGAAGGCAAGTCAGTCTCCTTACCAACCTTGTCCTCCCAACCGCCAGCTCCTGTTGATGCTATGTGAGGGTGGGAGCGGGCGGTCTGAAATTGGAAATGGTTCATGGCCTGGATGAAATCAACCCCTGGGCTGGATGCAGCCATAGGCCACCAGTTGGATTACCCTGCCTAGACAACCAGCTCCAATTCTTGACATAGGGCTTAAAATGTCTCCCGGTCCCCACTTGCCCTATCCCCTTACTCCTTTCCCCTCCTTTGAGCACCTTACCCTTTATCACCGCTCCAACCTTTCCCTCAAAATTTTCTTTATCTATCACCCCCAAGCCCCCCACCATCTTTCTCCCCAATGTCTACAACCTCTATCTTCCCTCTCTCTGCTCTGAGCGCCTCATCATCCTAGACGACCTCAACCATCACCCCCTCCTGCTCTATCTCTGCTGACTTTTGCTCCCTCAACCATTCCCTCCACTTCCACTCCGCCACACACGTCCACCGTCACGGCCTCGGACCTCACCATCATCGACAAAGCCATGTCGGACCTTCATCTCCCTTAACTCCAAAATCCCTCTCCTCACCGCCATCAAACCCACCTCCATCTTCTACTGCCCCTGGAAAACCTCTTAGTGACATCATTCACAGACATGAGGTCAACTTCCACATGTATGCGGTTGACACCCAATTTTATCTCTGTGCCTCCAGCCTCAACTCCAAGACCACCGGTGTCCTGACAGAATGTCTGTCAGACATCAAGTCCTGGATGAGAGCTAACTTTCTACAGTTGACCGAGGCTCTCCTGATTGGCTCCCGTCAGCGCCTCCACACCTCAGGAGTCAATTGACGGGCGGGCCTTCAGTCACTCTGCCCCCATCCTCTGGAACTCAATCCCACAGTCCCTCCGCCTTGCCTCTCCTTTGCCTCCTTCAAGACCCATCTCAAGACCCTCCTCTTCGACCGTGCCTTCGATCACCCTCCTCCCCACCCACCCTCCTCAATCTTGACCCCCGGCTCGGGTCCGAAACACTGATTGTCCAGCGCCTTAGGACGTTCTCCCGACTGGAAAAGTGCTTTTCAAATGTAATTTTGTTGTTGGTGTTGAAACCATAATCTTTTGTTTTTGAGCTGAGAGTTTGACCAACTGAGCCAGGCTGACAGACGTGACAAAATGTCTAGTTCTGGAATCACATTTGTTTTGAGTAAGAGAAAATACCAGTTAAAGGTACAGGTAAAAATACACAAACCAGCATGAAAGTTCTAAGAATTTCATGTCAGAGAGTCCTTAATGTTAACTGAAATCTTGACCCATATCCATACCAGCGCCTTGCAATGAAATGTTTAGTTCATTTTTAAGAAAATGCTGCAAGTAACACTAGACACGCGGTGCAGCAATTTGGGAAATCTTGATTACGTCACAAACAGCTGCATGTCTAAATGACCGATTTTTACTATCAAAACAATTGACATGCAGTTATCAACTTTAAACTCTGACATTATAAATCTGCAATATTTTGGAAAAGCTGTTACTCATACGTATATAAAACTGGAACGATGTCTGGAAGAATGAATATCAAACACTTTAGAAATCCATAAATATGCTATATTCTAGCTTGCAAGATGCCTCTGACAATAATTGAAAACATATTGATATAAATCTCATATTTTTGATAGAATGCATCTCTTAGAAGTTTGAAGAAATCTCATGAGAGCCATGGATATAAAATTTGGCAATAGAGATTCTTCAGAAGAGTGAAATGCACTCATCCAAATGCAAGGATTATATTATATTCTAGCAAGATATTCTGCAGGTATTATTAGAACATAGCTGCTTCCTAAACACTTTGTATTCAAATCAAATGTACGTTCTCATTACCCTAGATCAATGTGGTCCAACAGAAGGCACATGGGTTGACAGCGATGATTTTATGCGGCCCGCGACCATTTGCCCCATTCCAACTTCCATTATTTCCCTCCCTCCCTGGTGAACGTACTCCCAGGGCAGCGGCAGGAGCCAGCGGTATGTCAGGAAGGCAAGCGCGTCTCTTACCAACCGCGTCCTTAGCAATCAACTGCCAACTCCTGCCACCTCAGACAGTGACCCGCGCTTGGGAGAGAGATTGGGGGAGAAGGGTGGGAGAGAAAGGGGGGGGGAGAGAAAGGGGGGCAGACAGGGAGGGGAGGCGGTGGGGGGGGAGAGAGAGAGATAGAGGCAGGGAGAGGGAGGCAAGGAGAGAGAGGTGGGGAGAGAGAAAAGGGGGAGAGGAGGAGAGAGAGAGGGATGGGGGGGTAGAGAGAGGGGCGAGAGAAAGCAGTCAATCACTCCCTCCCCTCCTCCCCCTCTCCCCCCCACCCCTTCGCTCTCTCACCCCCTTCTCTCTCCCAAGCTCAGGTCACTATCTGAGGTGGCAGGAGTTGGCGGGTGGTTGCTAAGGATGTGGTTGGTAATAGACACGCTTGCCTTCCTGACAGACCACAGTAAAGGGTCTCCACGCTGCATCCTCCCCAACCACCAGCTCCTGCCGCTGCCCTGAGAGGACATTCACCAGGGAGGGAGGGAGCGGGTTGGAATGTTGGAAATGGTCTCTGGCCGGATGTGGCCCACAGGCTGCCAACTGGTCCACGCTGGAATGCGTCCGAAAAGGGAATGCGGTCTGCGGCAGCCAAAAGTTCGGACCACCCTGCCCTAGGTCATAATTATTAAAAAAAAATTATGGCCCAGTAAGAAGACAAAGAGTCCAGGTCTATTGGGTTTTCAGATGGATATACTCATATAGTATTTGAGGAGCAAATTGAATTACATTTTCCAATATCTGTCAGTTGTTAACATGTACAAGTTTTTCAATGATTCAAGTGATGAAAATATGATGGTAAGTCTGGAAGGATGAAGATCTACATTGAGATCCCACAAAATGCTACATGCAAACTTTACACACTTGCAGATGTTAGGAAAGATGCAGCGAGGTTAGCATACAAGCATGTTTAGTAACCATGCAGTTATGCAATTGAGTAGCCACAATATACTCACCCAAATGTATGCTACCTAGTTCTGTGTAAATAATAGCAACCAGGAAACAAAAAAGCAACAAACCAATCAAAAGGAATCCACTATAGAAAACACATCTGACCTACAGAATGTTAACAGCAACTCCAACTATGAACCAGTTTGGAAGAAAACTGGAAGAAATTCCAAACCACATTTATAGTATTCAAGTTCTTAAAGTATTGATTCCTAAGCCTTTTTTTAAACAAAAAAAACACTCATTACTTGAGTAAGCTGTTTTCCAAATTAGAGTCACCGTATACATAAGCATTTTTAAGGAAAACCTATGTACTGTTGGTTGTGATACTATAGTGTACATGCACTTCTGAGATCTGTCCCAAATCCAGGCTTCAACTGCTAAGCTGAATATTTCCCTACCACCAGCAGCACACTTTATTAATTAAAAGCATCTTTTTTGTTTCATAGGAGGACAAAATGGGGGTTGAGAAGATACTCATTGGAAACCCATCTCTACAACTAAATCTGGACAGTAGCTAAAAATAGGCTTAGGTCAGGATCGCAAATAGACTTAACATTGTGCTTTTGCTTTGTTTGTCAAATGTTCCCCTATGATCATTTCTTAAACGAAAATGGAGTAATGGATATTTTAAAAAGATTTAGGAACAAGACATCTGCTTGCCTTCTCAGCTGGGAATATGGGTTGAAAGATCCTGAACCTGAACAAAATTTCAGAGAAGAAATTGCCAGAGGTTTAGTGCAATTGTGCCAAATTCCTTTTGCACCGAGTTTGAAATGAGTTGAGATGATAATTTATTTGACTCATAAAGGGATCAGAGGGTGACTCTGGACTTTGGAAAGCTGAGATCATTCTGGAGTTTACTGCCATATTTTTCACAGCATGATTCTTCATTTGTTTGCATGTTTGTATTTCTGTACATGTTGAAGAACAGCACATGTAAGGCTCACCAAGTGTGGGATTATAAGCATAAACTCATGTCTCATGACTGATTGGCACAGCATGCACCAAAGGTTTCTGCCGCTACACCATCCTAAAGACTGATACATTCACTTAATATAATTGTATCAAAGACAATTAAAAAATGGATAGAATGCTGCCAAGATGTAGCTATAGTATAAATCACATACACAAGTAATTTAAGTTTATTATGCAGAAGCATTTATGAACAAGCACCAAGGGTTTTGCCTAATTATAATTGCTTGGGAAAGAAAAAATCCAACTGCCCAATGATGGATTATATTTATAATAAAACTCCTCCTTTTCTCTACTTTGGTCCCATCTTTTAGAGCTCTATTATAATACAGGGCAGGAGGGTAGGCAACCAACTCAAAGAATTCCATTAGACACATTAAAAGATGCATCAGAATGCCTAACTTTCCTCTTCTACCTTAAAAAGCATTTCAAACTTTGTTGGTTAATTAAAATGTCCCAACTGAAATCTGCAATCAGCACAAGTCCACGCTACCAACAGTGCTTGTACTTAACTAAATCCAAAAGGATCTGACTTGATGGGAGTTTGATTGCATGAGTGACAACTACCCAAATTGTGGAACTAATATTCATATTGTAAATCAACTTGCCACTCAGTCCACTAGGAATAATTATACAGGGTGGTCAAATGCTCCAGATAAAAGTTACATCTACTGGATATAAAGTCCCAAGTGAAATATTACAGAGGTTTTCACAAAACAATAAATGGTAAAAATGAATAAAATGTTCTTCAAGCACAAGATTGACTATATTTGAGACTGCAAATTTATTAAAAATATGTAATATTCTCTACATAAAATTAATCTGGCCTATTTTTATTCCAATTCAAAAGCATACCTGTGTGTAAAATGTGAAGGAACAATTTACATTAAAAATGTATCATCTTTATATCAGTAATTGTTTTGGGCAGGTTAAAAAAAAACCTGTCCACTTCTTGAGAGTTCATAGAACATGTTTACCACAGTTTTCTTTCAATTTACTTGAATATGAATATATGCGATTTGTGGAGTATGCTGTGTAAAACAAAAACAAGAGGTATAATGACAGAAACATTATAATTCAGAGGCAGAATAAGAACCATCCATATTACCATCCATTATGCAGTTTTCTACACAAAATAAATCTCACTCCCTTAACAACTGGGGAAGGTTTTTTTCTTAAAATGGTTGGTTACTAATTAAAATTTCTGGGAATGCAGTGGTACATTAAATTCCAAACCGTAAGCTTGATGTCAGAAGACATTACTGTATAAGAAGCATTAAACAAGCTTTTTTCAAAAGCAAAATGGTATTTGGGCATACTTATTTGCCTAAACAATCAATATGTTCTTCTGAAGCATGCTTCACATTTTCCATATCCATACCAGCGCCCTGGGACATCCTCCCGACGTGAAAGGTGCTATACAAATGTAATTTTGTATTTTTTGTAACCCAAAACCAGGAAGTTGACCTGGTTGCTTCAAAGACACAAAACTTCAATTATCTGGCTTCCAAGTGGTCAAAAAATAACCTTGTCTGCATTCATAGAAGGTTTTTAGCTCCAAAACAGACTTGTGAAATTACAGGAAGAAAGTGTTTATAGATGAAAAACAAAATAAATATGAAATATAAAATCAGGGAGATAAATTTAATTCTAGCATTTGGAATCTGTTGGGTGGGGGAGGGAGGGGGGGAACTTAAAGGTAAAAGCATAATTGTTAACTAATTACATAGCTGATTTTTTATGTTAAAATGTACAATTAGTACATTGAGTTTCCTTTAACAAAGAGAAATGGGTAGGATATATACCAATGTTTCTTCCATAATGGAAGAAACATCTAATCAACAGGACTCAAGTTACAGTCTTGTCCAATTACAAAATTGGTTTAAAGCATTTTATTCTGTCAATTGACATCTTTGAGAATGAATAGCAAAGAATATACAGTACAAAATCACATTTGTATGGTGCCTTTCACTTCGGGAGGACGTCCCAAGGTGCTGAACAGTCAGGGATTTGGACCCTAGCGGGGGTTTGGTATCAGGGAGGGTGGAGGACAGGGAGGATGCTCGAAGGCGTCTTGAGACTTGCCTTGAAGGAGGCAAGAGATGGTGCAAGGCGAAGGAAATGTAAGATGGAGTTCCAAAGGGTGGGGGCAGAGAGGCTGAATGCCCGACTGCTGATGGTGGGACAGGACGGATGGGGGATGTGGAGCAGGTCCGAGCCTGCTGAGCGGACAGGATGATATGGGATTAGCAGGTCACACAGGTAGGGGAGGTGCAAGGCTGTGGAGGGTCTTGAAGGTGAGGACGAGGATTTTGGGTTCTATCCTCTGGGGGATGGGAAGCCAGCGGAGCCAGACAAGGATGGAGTTGATGGAGCCACGGAGCCTGGTGAGGGAGAGGACATGGGCTGCAGAGTTCTGGATGATCTGCAGCTTGTGGAGAAAAGAGTTGGGAAGGCCGACAAGCAGGGAGTTGGTGTAGTCGAGCCAAGATGTGATGAACGCATGAATGAGGGTTTCGGTGACCTGAGAGGTGAGGCAGTGGCGGAGCCGGGCGATGTTGCGGAGGTGGAGGAAGACGGAGCGGATCATGGATGGATGTGGGGTAATGCTACAATATTTTAAGTTTGGCGAATTACCATGAATATTTGAATTTGCTGCAGTGTTAGTATTTATAGTTGGATGGTTTGCAGCATGCCCATTTTTCTTAAGAGCACATCAATTACTGAAGAAAACATACGATAGCAAGAATGCTCACGCTTTAAGTTATTGCTATGTATAATATGGATGGATGTCAGTTAATATTGTCTTGTTAAAGGACAATATTTTATAAAAGCATATATAAGCACTTAAGCCCAAGTTATGGGCATTCAACAACCAGCTCATTCATATTTTTAAAAAAATTAAAATATAGATTCCAGAAAATTCACCAGATTCAATGCTGAATACTCCTGGATGGTCACGTGAAGATTTAATTTTACAAAATCATATTCTCCTAAAATCCATTCCCAGATTTTGAAAAGAAAGTCTTGTTGGGTGAAAATGACAGTTACTGAAATCACAAATTAGTAATCATGGCACTGACGTAAAGCATGTGCATGTCGATACGCACACACATTAAAATATCCACTTTGGTAAGAGGATTGTAAAACTATGCAAATCCTGCTCTGTAATTGCCCACACGCAGTATATAAATATTAGGGACTTGCCTTCTGCTTACTTGTGAGAAAATACGACATCACTGATATTCTTTCAAAAGTGGTTGAACTCAATTATTCATAGTGTGAGGCTTATCAGCAATAAGTTTCTCTAAAGTACAGCTTGTGGATGCTCTAAAAAGCTAAAAGCATACTTTGAAGAAACCCAGAGGAAGTTATTTTGCAAATTCTGGTATAAATGTCAAAGCATTTTAGGAATTCTAACACACAGCACATTAAAAATTAGGTTATGAAGCTAACCACTTACTTTCTGTTGGCTTATATACAGATTTGAATGGTAGTAGTTTTCAGAAAATTGATTCATAGTGAAATAACCACAAATATTCAACAAATTCATTCAAAAAGCATATATGCATGTAAACATCAACTTTAATGAATTCTACTCCAATTCTATATCATTACAGCAGGCACTGAAACAAAACATGCATCCCAGGTATGAAAATATAGGTCACAAAGTTACCTTGCAAAGCATTTCCAAGTAAAGCTTCCAGCTCTGGATTAAATTCCGCTTTCTCTTTCAGCATGTGAAACAGCAGCTGGTTTTGAGTGGCACTGTTTATTTCTATTTGCTTCAGACGACCTTCTAGCATCTTAATCTGAGACTCCTTCTGAGCAGCTTGTAGCCCCTAAAATAAGATCTGCATGTTCTTAAACAGTGTATGGTACTGGCGTTACATCAACATTAATCCTCAAACCATTCTACGTTTGATTCTATACTGATAATTTTCTCACCTCTCTTCTGATTCTACCAGTTTGTAGCCAAATTGAGAGATAATTTTGCATTGGAGGGTTTAAAACTTCTCTGTATTTAACAAAATAAAAATTGCACAGAATTGATAAAAGCAAATCTGTTTTAGTGTGATGACTAATAACCCGTATAGTTTCCTTATGCACAAAGGAGCAAATTCCAATTAATGCAAATAATCAGTTCTACAATACTGTTACTTTATTCAATTCTGAGTGAAAGAAGTTTGAGGTTAAAAATGACATCATATTTGAGTTGTACGAATTGATATGGAGTCTCAAGCAGTGGGAGATGCAGAACAAAGAATATTCAAAAATTTACCAGTTAGGCTCACTTTACCTTATTAATAGCCATTGAGAGGAAATGATCCAGCAAGTAACGAGCTTCTGTCAAAGAGCAGGAAGTAATCACTGCTGAGACATCCACTGTACCCCCCTCCTCCTGCAAGTGAAGACAATTATAATCCTTACATTTGATATAGCGCCTTTATCGTGTCATCGAGACTTCTCAAAGCGCACGGAATATACTGCAAAGTGGTTTGACTGCATATTTTTTGTGCGAACAAGGTCAGAGTAAGTTAAGTACAATTATAGTTCTTTTCTATCACTCTTTTTGGGATGTGAGAAATAGGGGTAATTTTATATGTGAAACATTTGTGTAAATATTTCAGAATAACTACTGTATGTAGCTGTTAAATACTGTGTTTGATTACACAATTTTGACACTCTTCTCAATGGTAGATTTGATTTAACTAATTTGGAAAATCATGAGCATTATTTGGATTCTCCTTAAGGAAAAGGAAAGGAAAAACACAATATGTCTTCAATGGTAACTATGTCTTTCATGGGCACTATGACAATAGAGAGAAGCTGAATTTTGGGGGGGCATCCAGGTACCTGAAATATGTGGAAACCCATCATCATAATTAAGATTATCCAACCAACAAGAGTTCCACCCACATCACCTAATTTGGAAATGCCTGGATCTGGAATCTTCCTGGAGGGTGGCATCCTCCTTATCTAATTCCAGAGAGTATTAGGCACAGGTTGGCATGAGCCAAAGCTTGTGCAACGGAGTATTGCTGGAGTTTAACTCGCAAAAACCACAAAGCTTCCTGCTGCTTGTCCAGCTAGGACAACCCTACCCATGAGGGCTTTGTCTTACAAGGGTAACAGGAGGTAAGTAGGAAGAATCTCTGTTCACAGAAACTGGTCTGCCCCTACAAATCCGGCTGGTGATCAGCCCTGAAATCCATATGGCTCAACAACAACTTGCATTCACAAAAAAAGCAGTCTTATACAGGGAGAGAGAGAGATCCCCCTCCCCACACATATACACAGGGAGAGACACCCCTACACACACACACACACACCCCAGAGGGAGACCCACCCCCCCCACACACACAGGGAGAAACACACACACACACACACACAGGGAGAGAGACATACACACAGACAGGGAGCGAGACACACACACAAGGAGCGAAACACACACACACACAGGGAGCGAGACACACACACACACACACACACACAAGGAGAGAGAGACACGCACACAGGGAGAGAGAGACATACACACAGGGAGAGAGAGACACACACAGGGAGAGAGAGACACACGCAGGGAGAGAGAGACACACGCAGGGAGAGAGAGACACACACAGGGAGAGAGAGACACACACAGGGAGAGAGAGACACACACACAGGGATAGAGAGAGACACACACACAGGGATAGAGAGAGACACACACACACACACAGGGAGAAAGAGACACACACACAGGGAGAGAGAGACACACACACACACAGGGAGAGAGAGAGAGACACACACACACACGGAGAGAGACGATACACACACACACAGGGAGAGAGACGATATATACACATAGGGAGAGAGAGACACACACACACAGGGAGAGAGACACACACACACAGGGAGAGAGACACACACACACAGGGCGAGAGAGAGAGAGAGACACATACACAGGGAGAGAGAGACACATACACACAGGGAGAGAGAGACACCCACACACAGGGAGAGACACACACACAGGGCGATTGACACACACACAGGGCGAGAGACACACACACACAAACAAACACACGAACACACACACACACACACATAGGAAGAGAGAGAGAGACACAGGGAGAGAGAGACACCCGCACATACACGCACATACACACAAACAATTTTCCCTACCACTGATGTCAGACTAACTGATCTATAGTTCCCCATCTTTTCTCTCCCACCCTTCTTAAATAGTGGTGTGACGTTTGCAATCTTCCAATCAATGGAAACCGTTCCAGAATCCAGAGAATTTTGGAAGATCAAAGACAAGTCATCCACTATCTCAGTAGCCACCTCTTTTAAAACCCTAGGATGTAGGCCATCAGGTCCAGGAGATTTATCAGTTTTAAGACCTGACAATTTACCTAAAACCATTTCTTTACTCATATTAATTCCCCCAAGTTGCTCGCTAACATTGTCTTCTTGGTTCCCCTCTATTCTTGGTAAGTTTTCAGTGTCTTCTAAGGTGAAGACAGTAGCAAAGTACTTGTTTAATGACTCTGCCATCTCTTTGTCCCCTACTATAATTCCCCCCGTCTCTGCCTGTAGCGCACCCACATTTACCTTTGACAGCCTCTTCCTCTTTATATATTTATAAAAGCTCTTACAGTCTGTCTTTATGTTCTTCGCTAGTTTGCCCTCATATTCCATTTTCTCCCTCTTAATCACTTTTTGGGTTCTCCTTTGTTGATCCCTAAAGTTCTCCCAATCCTCGGGTTTACTACTCATCTTAGCTGTTTTATAGGCTTCTTCCTTTAACTTTATACTTTCCCTAACTGCTCTAGTTAGCCACGGTTGGGCCACCTTTCCCGTGGCATTCTTATTCCTCAAAGGAATACGTGCTCGCTGGGAATTTTGCACTATCTCCTTTGTCTGCCATTGCTGGTCTACTGTCAAATCCTTAAGTCTAATTTCCCAGTTTATTTTGGCTAAATCCTCTCTCATACCAGCAAAATTGGCTCTACTTAAATTTAAAACCTTTGCTTCGGACTTAACTACCTCTCTCTCTAACTTAATGCTAAATTCCATCATATTATCATATATCACTTTGCCCTAGAGGAGCCTTAATTTCCAGTTTGCTGATCAGCCCTGCTTCATTGCACAAAACAAGGTCTAATATGGCCTGTTCCCTGGTTGGCTCCTCGGCAAACTGATCGAGATAATTATCCCTAATACATTCTATAAACTCTTCCTCTATCATATTTTTCCCAATTTGGTTGTCCCAATCTATGTGCAGATTAAAATCACCCACAATTAATGTTTTTCCTTTACTACATGCTCTGCTAATTTCCTGATTTATACCTTGAGAGATACTGTGACTGCTGTTCGGGGGTCTATAAACTACTCCCACTAGAGTTTTCTGCCCCTTGTTGTTACGTACTTCTACCCATACTGACTCTACTTCCTGCTTCTCTGATTTAAAATCTTTCCTCTCTACTGTTTTTATCCCATCCTTTATTAGCAGGGCCACCCCCCCCCACTCCTCGTTTACCACGTTGCCTGTCTTTCCTATACATCACGTACCCTGGAATATTTAGCTCCCGCCCTTGATCTCCCTGTAACCATGTCTCGGTGATGGCTACTAGATCATACACACACACAAACAGGGAGAGAGAGAGAGACACCCACACATATACGGGGAGAGAGACACACACATACACACACACACACAGGGAGAGAGACACACACACACACAGGGGGAGAGAAACCCACACACACATGGGAGAGACACCCACACACATGCAAGGAGAGACACCCACGCACAGGGAGAGACACACACACAAACACACACAGGGAGACAGAGGGACACACACACACACACACACAAGGAGAGACACACACAGGGGGGGAGAGAGAGACCCACACAGGGGGGGAGAGAGAGACCCACACACACACACACACACACGCGGGGAGAGACACCCACACCCACACACGGGGAGACACACCCACACCCACACACGGGGAGAGAAACCGACACACAGGGAGAGACACACACACAAACGCACACAGGGAGAGAGAGGGACACACACGCACACAGGAAGAAAGAGATACACAGAGAGAGAGAGAGACACACACAGGGAGAGAGAGACACACACACAGGGAGAGAGAGACACACACACAGGGAGAGAAACACACACACGCAGGGAGAGAGAGACACCCACACAGGGAGAGAGAGAGAGACACACACACAGGGAGAAAGAGAGACACACACACACAGGGAGAAAGAGACACACACACACACGCACACACAGGGAGAGAGACACACGCACACAGGGAGAGACACACACGCACACAGGGAGAGAGACAGACACACACGCGCACACAGGGAGAGACACACACACGCACGCGCACACAGGGTGAGACATGCGCACACACACAGGGAGAGAGACACACACACACGGGGAGAGAGAGACACACACACACACAGGAAGAGAGAGAGACACACACACACAGGAGAGAGAGACACACACACACACACACAGGGACACACACACACAGGGAGACACACACACAGGAAGACACACACACACACACACACAGGAAGAGGCACACACACAGGAAGAGACACCCCCACACACACACAGGGAGACACACACACAGGGAGAGACACACACACACACAGGGAGACACACACACAGGGAGAGACACACACACAAACGCACACAGGGAGAGAGAGGGACACACACGCACACAGGAAGAAAGAGATACACAGAGAGAGAGAGAGACACACACAGGGAGAGAGAGACACACACACAGGGAGAGAGAGACACACACACAGGGAGAGAAACACACACACGCAGGGAGAGAGAGACACCCACACAGGGAGAGAGAGAGAGACACACACAGGGAGAAAGAGAGACACACACACACAGGGAGAAAGAGACACACACACACACGCACACACAGGGAGAGAGACACACGCACACAGGGAGAGACACACACGCACACAGGGAGAGAGACAGACACACACGCGCACACAGGGAGAGACACACACACGCACGCGCACACAGGGTGAGACATGCGCACACACACAGGGAGAGAGACACACACACACGGGGAGAGAGAGACACACACACACACACAGGAAGAGAGAGAGACACACACACACAGGAAGAGAGAGACACACACACACACAGGGACACACACACACAGGGAGACACACACACAGGAAGAGACACACACACACACACACACAGGAAGAGACACACACACAGGAAGAGACACCCCCACACACACACAGGGAGACACACGCAGGGAGAGACACACACACACACAGGGAGACACACACACAGGGAGAGACACACACACACACACAGGGAGAGACGCACACACACACAGGGAGACATGCACACACACACAGGGAGACACCCACACACACAGGGAGACACACACACACACAGGGAGAGAGGCACACACGGGGAGACACACACACGGGGAGACACACACACAGGGAGAGACACATACACACACACACACACAGGGAGACTCACACACACACACTCAGGGAGAGACACGCACACACACACAGGGAGAGACGCACACACACACAGGGAGACACACGCACACACACAGGGAGTGACACGCACACACACAGGGAGAGACGCGCACACACAGGGAGAGACACGCGCACACACACACAGGGAGAGACACGCACACACACACAGGGAGAGACGCACACACACACAGGGAGACATGCACACACACACAGGGAGACACCCACACACACAGGGAGACACACACACACACAGGGAGACACACACACACACACAGGGAGAGAGGCACACACGGGGAGACACACACACGGGGAGACACACACACAGGGAGAGACACATACACAGGGAGAGACACACACACAGGGAGACACACACACAGGGAGACACACACACAGGGAGACATACACACAGGGAGAGACACACACACACACAGGGAGAGACACAAACACACAGGGAGAGACACAAACACGTGGAGAGACACACACACGGGGAGAGACACACACACGGGGAGCCACAGAGAGACACACACACACACGCAGGGAGACACACACAGGTTAAGACACACACACACAGGGAGACACACACACAGGGAGAGAGAGAGACACACACACACACAGGGAGAGAGACACACACGCACACACACACAGGGAGAGAGACACACACGCCCACACACACACACACAGGGAGAGAGACATACACACACAGGGAGAGACACACACCAATCCACACCTCCCAACTCACACCCCCACACCTTCATGTGGGGTAGTTATTCAGTGCGCTTAACAGTGGTGAAACCTGACGCCAAGCCGGGAGGAGATGACCATAAACACTGTTGAAAAGGAATGTCCTCAGCTGTGATCTGAAAAGGTGGGTACACATGCACTCGTATTGAAGGAGAGAGTTCCAACATCTCAGGGCATAATGGCTGAAAGCATGGCCACCGATGGTGGAGAGGAGGGGACAAGAGACAAACAGGAGGCTGAAGTCAGCCAAGTGAGACGGCAGGTAGTAGAGTGGGGACCAAGCAGGTCGGAAAAGTAGGCAGGTGACAGGGCGTCAAGGGGTTTATAGACAAATGTAAAGATCTTGAAATTGATATATTCTGCAATCATAATGGGGGTATGAAGTTTAGAACGGGTGAGTATATGGGCGGCTGAGTTCTCACTTAGTTGGCTCAGGAACTGGATTCTGGGATTACGACAGGGGATTGACTCAATTCCAACATTCCATTGCCAAGGATATCACCTTGAAGCCACTTCAGCTCCAAGGACAGTCTGCTTACTCCTCCTCTTTCCCCCTCCCCAGGAAGATATGCATATACAATCAGGAAAGTTACAACTCAAACTGTATGATGATGTAGCAAAACTATTGAAAATAATAGTGTTAAAAAGATCTATTAATCATTTTTGCATTTTCCGAAAAGAAAACAACCATAAGTGCTGTTAAAACTTAATTTATAAGATCGACTTACTTTTGCTTCTTCCATCTGCATGATATTAGCCTGGCAGTCTGAAATGCTATCATTTATGTAATCAATATTTGCACTCAGTGACTCGATCTCCTCATTAATGTTATGAATTGCTTTATCACCATCTGCACATTCTTGTTGAAATTTTTCTCTTCTTCTGGTCACTTTATCTAGTCTTTTTGTCAGTTCTTCACGTTGCTATAATGCAAATACACGTTAAACAAGTGCAACAATGAGGAAATCAACTCTTTTATACACACAAACATACCTACAAGGATATATTATTTCTACTGAAAATTAGCTAAATTAAATGCTAAAACTTAATGATAAAATGCTACAATGTCAAACAATATATACAGAAACATTTCTGCAAACAAATTAACTCTAATATAACATAATATCAGCAGAAAAAGCTCATTTCATAAGTCAGCTGAGTCATAGTTAAGTTGGCCATCATAAAGTTTTCTTGAGCGCTAAAGTAGCACAAACCTCAAAGTAATGACTTAGCCAGTGCAAGGACCCCAGATTACTAGAACTATTCACATCTATTTTGCATAGCTGCAAAAAGTAAATAAAAGCATCACAAACAATTCTCAAAGATCTTTTGGTTCACTGCATCTTGGAAGCAAATGAAGACCTTTAATTATGAATAATCAAACAGTGCATGGACAGGAATAATAACTACCATTAGTATGATTATTATTATTATTACTGGTAACCAATTTTGCTGCCATGTCAACATACTTTTATTTTGTGTTTATGTATGTGCATGCGGATGCACGAGGGGGTGTAAAGGATCATTCTTGATGTCCACCACAGTTGAAATGTCTGCCAAAATTCACCTTCCAGACTTACATATGAAGAACAGCACTTGGGTGAGTGAACTCCCAAGAAACCACACTTCAGCACATCTGAATTGAGGAAGTCAACATTTTAATAAATTGAATTCCAATTCAGGACTAATTACAGGTAATGAGCTCAGAACATTAAAAACAAAAATGATAGGCTGTGTAAATAACAGTGCACAGTGAAAATAACATAATTGCTATTTCCCAATCAACAGGCACGTCTGAAGTACTGGCTCCTATTGACAGCAACAGAGCTGGTCGTGGAGCCATCTGGGAGGGAGTGGAAACTTGAAACAGCTTCCTCAATGAAGCCAAAATTGTCACTTCAATAAAAAAAAATTTCCTTCAAATTAAAATTTGAAATATTCTCAATGGTGTTTCTTCCTCTTCAGGTACCTCACTATCCACTTTTGTATTCTGTGCTTTCACTACATTGCAGTTGTTAACACCTAAAAAGAGTAATACATAATCATGTATATCTGCATTGGAAGTATTAACTTTACAAAGCTAGTATTTACTAGTTTTTAAATTACAGACTTCCATTTATAGACTGTTTCATTTGGGAGTTGTTAGAGAAAAAAAATGTTAAAGAACATACCTTCAGAAGTCTGTTCATATCAGTCTCCATGTTGGCAATTGTCATTCTCTGCATTATGATTTCAGTAATTCTACGATCAAGTGATTGCCATTTCATTCTAGCTGCCTTTGAAGTGTATATACTTATTACCCTCCTCTGCTGCTTCTTTCTGCAAATTAAATTAGTAGAATAGTTAGCCGAGTTAAAGGTTGACTGCAGATTTACTATTTTATTACGCGTAGAAAGGTACAAGGGTGTGAAGGCATTTATATGCGAGGGTGAAGACATTTATGTCAATCCATTTGGAGTCAGTGGAGTCTGGTGGCAATCGGGGTGATGGGCAAGTAAAATTTGGTGTGGGTGAGAATACAAGTGGCAGAATTTTCTGGATGGTGGAACTGTGTGGAGCAGCCAGAAGTGAATCTGAATAACAAAGGATGAGAGTTTGGGCAGCACTTGGTATGGGGTAGGAGTGGAGGTGGGCAATGCAGCAGAGGTGAAGGAAAGCAGTGTTGGTTAGTGACTGAATATGTTGTAGGAACAATATCTGGGGAGTGAACTGAGCACTGAGGTTGTGCACTCGTTTGAGATAGGCTAGACAGGTTTACAAAATCAGAGTCAGAGGCGATGAGACGTTGCAGTCGGGGAGCGGCGGCAGGACAGCGCGGGGAGGAGCCTGGGCCTACTGACCCAGGTACTTAAACTCGACGCCCGAGCGAGTTCAGCTCGGCAGCGAGGGGATGGGACGGAGCGGGGAACTGCGACGTCATAGATTAGTTTTCAAGTACGTGCGCGCGCACAAAAAAAAAAAAAAAAAACCCTGCGCCCCCCCCCCCCATCCCCCCCCCCCCCCCCAGGGCTCACATCAGAGCCCACTATGGTCCTGTTGGGTTCGCTGCCCCAATCTACGGGATAATGCCATCCACCTGACCGCTCGCTCCCGGTCCCCGCGTGCGCACTATGGCTGCCGCTTTGACCCGAGCCCCCTCACCCCCTCCCTCCCGCCCCCCCTCCTCTCTCCCCCCAAACCCTCCCCCCTCTGCATCTCTCCCGCTCTCTCCTCCTCTCTCTCCGTCCCTCTCGTCTTCTATCCCCACTTGACCCTCCCACAACCTCCCTCTGCTCCAGCCTGGGAATCCTCCGCCGGGCTCACCGCGGCACTCGGCGTTGGCTGTCCAGCAGCAGCCACACCGACTGCCCCATTCCCCACCACACTCGCCACCCACCCCGGACACAGACCCGGGGAGTCAACCTCTCCTCCCTCATCCCCATTCCCCCCACCCCTGCCTCACAACCTGGACCCCCTCCCCTCCCACACACCCTTCTGTCAACCGCTCCCTCCACATCGGACTGCAAAATGTCCGCTCCCTCTGCAACAAGGCCCTGGTCATCAACGATCTCATCCTTGATGAGAACGTTGATATCATGGCCTTGACAGAAACCTGGCTCACCCCAGGCGACACCTTCCCCCTCACGGAGGCCACGCCACCCGGCTACACCTCCCACCACATCCCCCGCCCCAACCGCCGTGGCGGTGGTGTTGCCCTTATCTCAAGGACACCACTTGCCCTATCCCCCTACTCCTCTGGCTCTTTCCCCTCCTTTGAGCACCTCACCCTCTCCCACCCCTCATTCCTCTCCCTTAAAATCCTCCTCCTCTACCGGCCCCCTAAAACCTCTCCCACCTTCATCTCTGACATTTCAACACTCCTCACATCTCTTTGCCTCTGCTCTGATCGCCTCATCATCCTGGGCGACTTTAACCTACACTTCACCCCCTCCTGCTCCATCTCCACAGACTTCTCTTCCCTGCTCTCCTCACTCAACCTCTCCTTACACATAAACTCCCCCACTCACAGTCACGGCCACCCACTCGATTTGGTGATCAGTGTCTCGGATGTCACTATTACCGACAAGGCCATCTCTGACCACCACTTCATCTCCTTCACCACCTCCACCCCCCTCCCCACCTCCACCAGACCCACCACCATCTTCTACCGCCCTTGGAAGAAGTTACCCCCACAATCCCTAACCGATGCCTTGGAGTCCTCTGAACTCCTCTCCCTCTGGCCTTCAACCCTCACCGACCCCTCTTCTCCTCTCTCCCTCCTCCACAATACCCTCTCCTCCACACTCGATACTCTTGCCCCCATCACTTCCCGCACTGTCTCCTACTCCCGCTCCTCCCCCTGGTACACCACCCACCTCCGCTCACTGAAAAGCCAGGTGCGGGCTGCTGAACGCACCTGTGTCAAATCTGGCCTAACGGTCCACCGACAAATCTGGCTGGACCTCCTCAAAATTTACCGCTCCACTCTAGCCTCGGCCAAGTCGTCCTTCTACTCCAGGATAATCCTGGAGGCGAAGAACAACCCCAGGCTACTGTTTTCCACCACAACCCGACTCCTCCGTCCCCCCCGCCACCCCGCGCAGGTCATCTCCTCCAACCTTCACTGCGAGGAGATGCTGGATTTCCTTGAATCCAAGATCAAGGGAATCCGCTCCGCGGTCACTTCCCCTCCAACTTCCACCACCCCCACCCCTTCCCTCCCACACTCCGACTCCTACCCATCCTCCCCTACACACCTTCGTACCCGTTTCCCCACCCTCTGTCACTGAACTCATCCTATCCCTAAAACCAACCACCTGCTCCCTTGACCCCATCCCCACTCCACTCCTTATCTCCCAGCTCCACTTTCTTGCCCCACATATCACTGACATCATCAACCTGTCCCTCTCCTCTGGCTCTGTCCCCATTCCATTAAAAACTGCCATCATCACGCCCACCCTGAAAAAACCCTCCCTTGATGCGTCGCAGCTATCAAGCTACCGGCCCATCTCCAACCTCCCCTTTCTCTCCAAGGTCTTGGAAAGAGTTGTCGCCTCCCAACTGCGCTCTTTCCTTTCCACCCATTCTCTTTTCGAACCCCTTCAGTCAGGTTTCCGTGCTGCCCATAGCACAGAAACTGCCCTGGTCAAGGTCACCAATGATATCCTGACCATCTGTGACCAGGGCTCCCTCTGTCTCCTCGTCCTCCTCGACCTATCGGCAGCATTCGATACGGTCGACCACGCTATCCTACTCCACCGCTTGTCCTCCCACCTCAACCTTCAAGGCACTGTCCTTGAATGGTTTAGGTCGTACCTTTCTCACCGTCTTCATTTGTCTCGACGAATGGCTTCTCCTCCACCCCCCGCACTGTCTCATGTGGTGTCCCTCAGGGCTCTGTCCTCGGTCCCCTCCTCTTCACCCTCTATATGCTCCCCCTTGGTGACATCATCCGCAGACATGGGTTAACTTCCACATGTATGCGGATGACACCCAACTCTACCTTTCCTCCTCTACTCTCAACTCCACGACCACCGATGTCCTGACAGCTGCCTGTCCGACATCGAGTCCTGGACGAGAGACAACTTTCTTCAGCTCAACGTGCGAAAAACCGAGGCCCTCCTGATTGGCTCACGTCAGCGCCTCCGCACCTCAGGCGCTGACACCATCAGCATCCAAGGCTGCACTCTCCACCTCTCAAAGCCAGTCAGGAACCTCGGCGTTTTGTTCGACCCTGAGCTGTCCTTTCTCCCTCACATCCGCACCACAACTGGCACCGCCTTCCATCACCTCCGGAACATCGCCAGACTACGGCACTACCTCACCCCTCACGCTGCTGAAACCCTGGTCCACGCCTTTGTCACCTCAAGGCTGGACTATGGGAACTCTCTCCTCGCCGGCCTTCCCGCCACCTCCCTCCACAAGCTGCAGGTCATTCAGAACTCTGCAGCTCGTGTACTGTCCCGCACCAGGCTTCGGGACCACATCACTCCCACCCTCGCTCGCCTCCACTGGCTCCCCATCCCCCAGAGGATTGATTTCAAGATCCTCATCCTCACCTACAAGGCCATTCACGGCCTTGCTCCCTCCTACCTCTCCAACCTACTATCCCCCTACCTACCTGCCCGTACCCTCCGTTCCTCTGGCTCCGGTCTGCTCCACGTCCCCCGCCCCAACCGCCCTACCATCGGTGGTCGGGCCTTCAGCCTCTCAGCCCCAGGCTCTGGAACTCCATCCCCCAGTGCCTTCGCCTTGCTTCCTCCCTTTCCTCCTTCAAGGCCGGTCTCAAAACCTTTCTCTTTGACCGTGCCTTCAGCTCCCCTCTCGACTCTCTTCCCCCTCCTCGCTCCCTCCCTTCCCTCCCCTCACCCTGACCATTTCCCCCCTCCTCGCTCCCTCCCCTCCCCTGACCATTTCCCCCCTGCTCGGGTCATGACTCAACTGTGCAGCGCCTTGGGACGTCCTCCTGACGTGAAAGGCGCTTTATAAATGGAATCTTGTTGTTGTTGTTGGCGAGAGCAGAGGATGGCTTCTGGTTTGGCCATGTTAAGCTGATCTAATAAGATTGAATACCCAACTGTACCTCATCCCATTAGACCGGTCTGCTGCTGTTCCTTGGATCCTAGGAAGCCTCCCTTTATGAAGCCCACTAAGGTTGGCAGCTGATCGGTCCGAATCATATATATTTGTGTAGGTTGGTGGCTCGGGAACAGGGTCTGGCAAACTAAGTTTGCGATTCACTCGGCCAGCTACTTTATCTGACATAGGCTTAGCTTGTCTACGAAGGGCTGTAACCTAGAGAGAAAAAAAATGTTTCACTAATAAGACACATAAAACTCAAATATTAACTAACCATCAGTTCGTGCTGCATGTTGCCCCTTTTACTAAAAAGGTGGCCAGGCAGAAAGTTAGGACATCCTTTCAACTTTTCAACATCCAGTCAAAACTGCTGGCATCAATCTTTTTTGATCTCTGAAGCCCTATATTTGGATAGTCATAACCAGGGCCAATAGAAAATTGCAGACGTGTTTGCCAAAATATGCAGGGAAATTTGACAACTTTTGCGGAAAATTACAGGTAATTGATTGATGCTACTGGGAGGCACTTTTTACTGCTAAACTAAAAATTTTCATTTTATTGATAGACAGTAAACATGAAAAAATAACATATAGGTTGTTGCAAAAAATAATTAATGCTTTCTTTAATAAAAACTGGTTGGTCCATCTGGGGGGACAAACAGCAGCACAGGCCCAAAGTGGCCATTTCCACCCCAAATACACACCCACTCAGGGGGAGACACACACACACACAAGGAGAGAAAGACACACACACACACATACAGGGAGAGACACACAGAAAGGGGGAGAGAGAGACACACACACAGGGAGACACACACACATAGGGAGACACCCACTCACACGCAAGGAGACACGCCCCCACATACCTACACACCCAGGGAGACACGCACACCCAGGGAAAGACTCACACAGGGCGAGACCCCCCTACACACACACCAGAGAGAGATCCCCCGCTAACACACTCACGCAGGCAGCAACACACACACACACACACAGGAAGACCCCCCCTAAACACACCCAGAGAGAAACCACCTCTCCCCCCCCAACCCAACCACCCCCCCCCCCCACACACACACATAGACACACACACACACAGGGAGAGAGACACACACACACACACACACAGGGAGAGAGACACACACACACACACAGGGAGAGAGACACACACACACAGGGAGACACACACACACATATACACACACACACACACAGACAGGGGGAGACACACACACATAATAATAATCCTTGCATTTGATATAGCGCTTTTCACGTCGGGAGGACGTCCCAAAGCGCTTCACAGAACACACTGTAAAGTGAATTGACTGTATATTTGTGGGCGAACGCTGCAGCCAATTGCGCACAGCAATGTCCCACAAACAGTCGTAGATTGAAAATGACCAATTTATTATTGTTTTTGGTTTTGGAGGGATTATTATGAGGCTCTGTGTGGAGTAAGGAAACTTGCCCAAGGTTTCGCCCTGACCTGCCGGGGATTGAACTCAGGTCTCTCGCTTGCAAAGCGAGTGCTCTAACCACTGAGCCACAGGACACGCCCCACAATACCTACACACCCAGGGAAACACGCACACCCAGGGAAAGAACACCCCACAAGCACAGACCCTACCCACTTACACACACCAGGGAGAGACACGCACACACACAGGGAGAGACACGCGCACACACACGCAGGGAGAGACACACACACACGCACACACAGGGATAGACATACACACACACATGCATGCACAGAGAAAGACACACACACGCACGCGCACACATGGAGAGAGACACGCACGCGCACACAGGGAGAGAGACACGCACGCGCACACAGGGAGAGAGGCGCACACAGGGAGAGAGACACGCACACAGGGAGAGAGACACGCACACAGGGAGAGAGACACGCACACAGGGAGAGAGACACGCACACAGGGAGAGAGACACGCACACAGGAGAGAGAGACACGCACACGGGGAGAGAGACACGCACACGGGGAGAGACACACACACGGGGAGAGACACACACACGGGGCGAGACACACACACGGGGCGAGACACACACACGGGAGAGAGAGAGAGACACACACACGGGAGAGAGAGAGAGACACACACACGGGGAGAGACACACACACGGGGAGAGACACACACACGGGGAGAGACACACACACGGGGAGAGACACACACACGGGGAGAGACACACACACGGGGAGAGACACACTCACACACGGGGAGAGACACACTCACACACACACACGGGGAGAGACACGCACACGGGGAGAAACACGCACACGGGGAGAGACACACACACGGGAGAGACACACACACGGGGAGAGACACACACACGGGGAGAGACACACACACGGGGAGAGACACACACACGGGGCGAGACACACCACGGGGAGAGACACACACACGGGGAGAGACACACACACGGGGAGAGACACACACACGGGGAGAGACACACACGGGGAGAGACACACAACGGGGGAGAGACACCACACACGGGGAGAGAGACACACTCACACACACGGAGAGAGACACACTCACACACACACACGGGGAGAGACACACTCACACACACGCACGGGGAGAGACACACTCACACACACACACGGGGAGAGACACACACGGGGAGAGACACACACATGGGGAGAGACACACTCACACACACGGGGAGAGACACACACACGGGAGAGATACACTCACACACACACACGGGGAGAGACACACTCACACACACACACGGGGAGAGACACACTCACACACACGGGGAGAGAGACACACACACACGGGGAGAGAGGCACACACACACACACACGGGGAGAGAGGCATACACACACACACACGGGGAGAGACACACTCACACACACACACGGGGAGAGACACACTCACACACACACACGGGGAGAGACACACACACGGGGAGAGACACACACACGGGGAGAGACACACACACGGGGAGAGACACACACGGGGAGACACACACACACACGGGGAGAGACACACACTCACACACACACACGGGGAGAGACACACACTCACACACACCCACGGGGAGAGACACACACTCACACACACACACGGGGAGAGACACACTCTCACACACACACGGGGAGAGACACACTCACACACACACACACGGGGAGAGACACAAACACACGGGGAGAGAGGCACATACACACACACACGGGGAGAGAGGCACACACACACACACACACGGGGAGAGGGACGCACACACACACACACACGGGAGAGAGGCACACACACACACACACACACGGGGAGAGACGCACTCACACACACACACGGGGAGAGACGCACTCACACACACACACGGGGAGAGACGCACTCACACACACACACGGGGAGAGACACACACACGGGGAGACACACACACACGGGGAGAGACACACACACGGGGAGAGACACACACACGGGGAGAGACACACACACGGGGAGAGACACACACACGGGGAGACACACACACACGGGGAGAGACACACTCACGGGGAGAGACACGCTCACACTCACACACACGGGGAGAGACACGCTCACACACACACACGGGGAGAGACACGCTCTCACACACACACACACACGGGGAGAGACACGCTCACACACACACACACGGGGAGACACACGCTCACACACACACACACACGGGGAGACACACGCTCACACACACACACACGGGGAGACACACGCTCACACGGGGAGAGACACGCTCACACGGGGAGAGACACGCTCACACGGGGAGAGACACGCTCACACGGGGAGAGACACGCTCACACGGGGAGAGACACGCTCACACGGGGAGAGACACGCTCACACGGGGAGAGACACGCTCACACGGGGAGAGACACGCACACGCACGGGGAGAGACACGCACACGCACGGGGAGAGACACGCACACGCACGGGGAGAGACACGCACACGCACGGGGAGAGACACGCACACGCACGGGGAGAGACACGCACACGCACGGGGAGAGACACGCACACGCACGGGGAGAGACACGCACACGCACGGGGAGAGACACGCACACGCACGGGAAGAGACACGCAAAGACGGGGAGAGACACGCACACGCACGGGCAGAGACACGCACACGGAGAGACACGCACACGCACGGGGTGACACACACACACGCACGGGGAGACACACACACACGCACGGGGTGACACACACACACGCACGGGGAGAGACACACACACGCACACACGGGGAGAGACACACACACGCACACACACACGGGGAGAGACACACACACACACACAGAGACACACACACGGGGAGAGACACACACGCACGCACACGGGGAGAGACACACACACGGGGCGAGACACACACACGGGGAGAGACACACACACGGGGAGAGACACACACACGGGGAGAGACACACACACGGGGAGAGACACACACACGGGGAGAGACACACTCACACACACGGGGAGAGACACACACACGGGGAGAGACACACTCACACACACGGGGAGAGAGACACACACACACACACAGGGAGAGAGACACACTCACACACACGGGGAGAAACACACTCACACACACACACGGGGAGAGACACACTCACACACACGCACGGGGAGAGACACACTCACACACACGGGGAGAGACACACAAGGGGAGAGACACACACATGGGGAGAGACACACTCACACACACGGGGAGAGACACACACACGGGGAGAGACACACTCACACACACACACGGGGAGAGACACACTCACACACACACACGGGGAGAGACACACTCACACACACGGGGAGAGAGACACACACACACGGGGAGAGAGGCACACACACACGGGGAGAGAGGCACACACACACGGGGAGAGACACACTCACACACACGGGGAGAGACACACACACGGGGAGAGAGGCACACACACACACACACGGGGAGAGACACACACACGGGGAGAGACACACACACGGGGAGAGACACACACACGGGGAGAGACACACACACGGGGAGACACACACACGGGGAGAGACACACACTCACACACACACACGGGGAGAGACACACACTCACACACACACACGGGGAGAGACACACACTCACACACACACACGGGGAGAGACACACTCTCACACACACACGGGGAGAGACACACTCACACACACACACACGGGGAGAGACACACTCACACACACGGGGAGAGAGGCACATACACACAGACACGGGGAGAGAGGCACACACACACACACACACGGGGAGAGACGCACTCACACACACACACGGGGAGAGACGCACTCACACACACACACGGGGAGAGACGCACTCACACACACGGGGAGAGACACACACACGGGGAGAGACACACACACGGGGAGAGACACACACACGGGGAGAGACACACACACGGGGAGAGACACACACACACAGGGGGAGAGAGGCACACACACATACACGGGGAGAGAGGCGCACACACACACACACACACACACGGGGAGAGACGCACTCACACACACACACGGGGAGAGACGCACTCACACACACACACGGGAGAGACACACACACGGGGAGAGACACACACACGGGAGAGAGACACACATACGGGAGAGACACACACACGGGGAGAGACACACACACTAGGGAGACACACACACACGGGGAGAGACACACTCACGGGGAGAGACACGCTCACACTCACACACACGGGGAGAGACACGCTCACACACACACACACACACGGGGAGAGACACGCTCTCACACACACACACGGGGAGAGACACGCTCTCACACACACACACACACGGGGAGACACACGCTCACACACACACACACACACACGAGGAGACACACGCTCACACACACGGGGAGACACACGCTCACGCACGGGGAGACACACGCTCACGCACGGGGAGAGACACGCTCACGCACGGGGAGAGACACGCTCACGCACGGGGAGAGACACGCACACGCACGGGGAGAGACACGCACACGCACGGGGAGAGACACGCACACGCACGGGGAGAGACACGCACACGCACGGGGAGAGACACGCACACGCACGGGGAGAGACACGCACACGCACGGGGAGAGACACGCACACGCACGGGGAGAGACACGCACACGCACGGGGAGAGACACGCACACGCACGGGGAGAGACACGCACACGCACGGGCAGAGACACGCACACGGAGAGACACGCACACGCACGGGGAGAGACACTCACACGCACGGGGAGAGACACTCACACGCACGGGAGAGACACTCACACGCACGGGGAGAGACACACACACGCACACACGGGGAGAGACACACACACACAGAGAGACGCACGCACGGGGAGAGACGCACGCACGCACGGGGAGAGACGCACGCACGCACGGGGAGAGACGCACGCACGCACGGGGAGAGACGCACGCACGCACGGGGAGAGACGCACGCACGCACGCACGGGGAGAGACGCACGCACGCACGCACGGGGAGAGACCCACGCACGCACGCACGGGGAGAGACGCACGCACGCACGGGGAGAGACCCACGCACGCACGGGGAGAGACCCACGCACGCACGGGGAGAGACCCACGCACGCACGGGGAGAGACCCACGCACGCACGGGGAGAGACCCACGCACGCACGGGGAGAGACGCACGCACGCACGGGGAGAGACGCACGCACGCACGGGGAGAGACGCACGCACGCACGGGGAGAGACGCACTCACGCACGGGGAGAGACGCACGCATGGGGAGAGACGCACGCACGCACGGGGAGAGACGCACGCACGCACGGGGAGAGACGCACGCACGCACACACACACGGGGAGAGACGCACGCACGCACACACGCACGGGGAGAGACGCACGCACGCACACACGCACGGGGAGAGACGCACGCACGGGGAGAGACGCACGCACACACGCACGCACGGGGAGAAACGCACGCACGGGGAGAGACGCACGCACACACGCACGCACGGGGAGAGACGCACGCACACACGGGGAGAGACGCACGCACGCACACACGGGGAGAGACGCACGCACGCACACACGGGGAGAGACGCACCCACGGGGAGAGACACCCCCACGGGGAGAGACACCCCCACGGGGAGAGACACCCCCACGGGGAGAGACACCCCCACGGGGAGAGAGGGAGAGACACACACAGGGAGAGAGGGAAAGACACACACACACACACACAGGGAGAGACATACACCCACACACAGGAAGACACACACACACTCAAGAAGAAAACCCCCCACATACCCACACAACCAGGGAGACACAAACACAGGGAGACGCCCCCCCCCCCACCCCTCGATCACTCACACATATACACATGGAGAGACACACACAGGGAGAGAACCCCTTCCTACACACACACTAGAGAGAGACCCCCACCCCCCCACCCCCGAGGGAGAGACCCACACACAACTCCACCCCCACAGAAAGACGCACATACACCCCACCCACCCCCAAGAGAGAGAGAAAGACACACACACTCAGAAATAGACACACATTCGCCTCCAGAGAGAGGCACACACAAACATACAGACAGAGAGTCACATTAACACTCAAAGACAGACACACATGGAATTCACAGAAACATTGTTGGTAACATTTTCAATTGGCCCATAATCTAATTTCCAGTAAGCCTGACTTTATACTATGAAAAATAATTATCAGCGTTCAAGAAAATGAAGAATATCTGTGTTATCTTTTTGAACCAGTAAACCTGTACCAAGAGAATCAAAAGTATACTTTTCACTTACAGTTGTGAAACTGATGCACTAGATTTTACAGTAATCTCACTAGTCTCACCTCTTCTGTTTTTCGACGAAGAATAATTTCCTGTTGTCGTTTCTTAGCTTCCAGAAGTCTCATCTGATTCTGTACCAAAACAAAGTCAATCAGTGCACAGATTGTTATCTCTTTCACCCATTTCATTTTTTGTGTGAAACATTTAGTAAATTCAATTATATAAAACAATTTAAAAACTTGCAGTGTGAAATACCCTCCTTACATGACTGGCGCTATATACAGAAAATGCAAATTTGTTGTTGTTGATCAAGGTCTCTGTGCGGGTCAAGACACAAATCAGTTATTCAGTCATTTGCTTGAGATTAGCTCCTTTTCAGAACATTAGACTGAACAAGTTAGCTAATAGGAAACTAAATGGCATTAATCAGCCAATGAGTATCTTGAAAATGGCAGATCCAAGTCCAATTTTGATGTGGGTACTTGGAAAATGGGTATACAAATAATTTGAATCCACAAGTTAACAAAATACTTATGCTGAGATTTTCAGGATTTGTACTTTTCTGCAAACAATCTAGATTTTGTACTGAGTTTATAGCAATTAATTTGACATTGCTAGATGTAATTGTATTCTTAATTAAGCAAAGATCTGTAATAGCTGTAGTACTGCTCCACTAGCTATTCTTAAATCTAACTACCAACAGTTGATCTGGCAATCAGGAATCTGCCCTCTTGCAAAATAACCAGTTCAGCAATGTAGGTGTGCTGATTATTATAAGGTACCAATAGGTGAAACTGCAGGCTTACACAATGGGCCCAGCAAGACAAATGTCTGATAGGGATAACCCTGTAAACTCTTAACCCCCCTGGAAAAATTAAAACTGGCAAATACTCAGGGCAGAAAAAAAGGAATAGACAGATACACTGCTATAACTGCAACATTTGAAATCACAGAAACTGTATCACACCCTATGTTCACCTGGGAGAACCCTTTAAGCTCAGTGGTCGCAAGTCATATTCAAGAACAATTTAGTGGGCAAGATCACCCTCTTGTACATGTTTTAAAAGGAAAATGGAGATCAGAAGTAAATCTTAATCCTCCTGTTCTTAAAAAATAGGAATAGAAGATTTGCTCTTTTTTGGGGGCCAAAACTCTGATAATAGTGTCACAAACCGGTTTTCAAAATTACAATCTCAGCAGTGAGTGAAATACAATGAGCAAAATATCTTAATTGGATTCTTGAAGTGTGAGTTGCAGACACCAGGGCATTCCATAATAGTTCTTTATAGGTCCAGCTACACATTATTTTAGTATATTTCACAACTACTCTATCTTTATAGCAATGTCACATTGTCATGTATAGCAACTGTCGACCACTCCATCCTCATACACCACCTCTCCGTTTTATTCAATCTTCGTGGACCTGCTCTTGCCTGGTTCGATTCCATCCCCCAGTGCCTTCGCCTTGCTTCCTCCCTTTCCTCCTTTGAGGCTGGTCTCAAGACGTTTCTCTTCGACCGTGCCTTCAGCTCCCCTCTCGACTCTCTACCCCCTCCTCGCTCCCTCCCCTCACCCTGACCATTTCCCGACCCAACTGTCCAGCACCTTGGGACGTCCTCCCGACGTGAAAGGCGCTCTGTAAATGAAATCTTGTTGTTGTTGTTATCTCTCTCACCATCTCCACTTCGTTGCCTCTAACGGTTTCTCCTCCAGCCCCCGCACTGTTACATCTGGGTCCCCCAGGGCTCGGCCCTTGGCCCTCTCCTCTTTAATATCTACATGCTCCCCCTTGGTAACATTATCCACAGACATGGGGTCAACTTCCACATGTATGTGGATGACACCCAACTCTATCTTTCTGCCTCCACCCTCAACTCCAGCACCTCAACTCTGCCTGTCGGACATCAAGTCCTGGAAGAGGGCAAATTTAATCTTGTTGTTGTATAATCCATGATTGACTTTATAGAACACACTGTAACATTCAGTCTAACAAGGGAACATCTTTTAATGAATAATTCATGTTGTTCCCAAGAGCAGAAGGTGTCCAAAGTAATTAAATAAAAAAAGTGAAAATATGCTGATGAACCAAAATCAATGGAATGTATTGGTTGTTCCAAAAAAGCACAAGTTCCAGAATTCTTATGTCTTGGCTTATCCAGGTTATATGGAGGATTGTGAATGCAAAACCAGTCCTTTCTTTTCTTAGAATAATACGAAAATGCTTACAGGTAACATTTTTGACTATATATTAAAAAGGGCAACACTAAACTTAAATAGTTATAGCGCCTTTCACATTAAATATACTTTTCAAGTGTTTTACAAAATCTGATTAATTGGACATGAAGTGAATGTTGGAAACTAATTTGCATCAGAAATATCTTACAGTCAATAAACCTGTCCAGGGGTATTTTCAAATGACACAGGAATACTTACGTCTTGCTTGCGCTGGTCTTTCTTTAACTGGGCAATTTCTCGGGTTCTCCTAGATTCTGTCATACGAGCTCGTTCTTGTTCTTCCTTCATTTGTTTCATTAAACGGACCTAAAAGAAAATCAATAGTGTACAACACAATACAGTTAACATTATCTAGCGGCTTTCTTGTCAGGAGGATGTCCCAAAATGTTTAACAGTACGGGTGGCAACCGAACTGGCGTAGGAGCCGAGTGCGGCATGGAGGGCAAAGATGACTGAAAGCATGGTTTAAGAGCTAGGTTTTGAGTTGGACCTTGAACAAGACGAGGGAGGGAGCGAGCGAGTCAGTAGGACCCTGAGATGGAGTTCCAATTATTATCATCAACGTTGAATTGAAGAAAGTTAGAGCTCATCCAAGACTTGATGTCTGACAGGAAATCGGTCAGAGCAGCTGTGGTTCTGGAATTGAGGGTGGAGTCAGAGGTTGGGTGTCATCTGTATACATGTGGAACTTAAATCCATGTCTGTTGATGACGTCACCGAACGGAAGCATACAGAAAATGAAGAGAGGATAGAGCCTAGAGGAACAACACATTTCACTGTGCGGGAGTGGGAAGAGAAGCAGTTACAATAGAAAGTAGACATTCTTGGACAGTAAGCAAAGTGTAACATAACAGGAAAGTGAACAGGCCAGTTAGCCCATCGAGCCTGTTTCACCAGTCTATTAAAATGTTGCACATCCTTAATCTCATCGTGCAGTCCTGGTATATCCTTCCAATGATTGGGTGCCAAAAATTAAACATAATAATCAGTACTCTATATAACTGGAAAAGCACCTCCCTATGATTATAATCTAGACCTCATAAATGCCAGTGTCTCATTTGTATTATTGACTGCTGTCTACACCTGAGAATTAGATTTTAATGATGTATGAATTTGAACCACTAGATCTCTGCCCATATACCTTTTCTAGTTCTGCATATGAACTGCTGCACCAAGAGAGCTTTTAGTACAACAGCACTGATCTTAATGATCACACGTACATAATGTTTAAGATCCGTTTTAAATGCAATAAGATATGGGCCATTAACATCTTTGAAAGCCAATATTTTAACAGTTGAAAGCAACTTACTGTACCCATTAATACATTCTCACTCCCTCCACACACGCCACAGCTATACTGCCAGCTCTGCTCATGATGGGAATCCCTTCAAAGTCCAGGTACTTATTAAAAAAAAAGGAATGAATGAAAGGAGAAAAAAAATGAACCCAGACATCTCGTTTGTCTCATTTCATCTGACTATTTTCCTTGCCACTGGGACTTGGAAGATAATTTTCACCATGGAAGTCAACACAACCCTGCATCGACCAGACAGAAAATGTACTCTTGATAGCTTTGCCCTCCAAAATTCTTTCACTAACACTCCAACCATCAGCACGACTGGCTAAATCAGTTCCCTAACTTATTTGTTGATTGCCATTGACTTCTCAAGGAATCAGTACCTTTGTCTTCTTCATTTCTCCTACTTCTTGTTGTAGTTTCCGCAACTGTTTTTCAAACTGCAATTGATTTTTTAGCAATCGAGCATGTTCCTTTTGAGCAGTATGTAACTTCTGTAGTTCTTTGTTCATTACTTGAAGCTTTTTTTCATATTCTGATTTTATTTTATTTGCTTTTTCTTCAGAATATGACTCCATGGACCCTGAAAGACCCAAAATAAAAAAAAGGTTCAGAATGATGCCAAGGTGAACATCAATTTTTCTCCTATAAACCAGCTGTATCCATCAATTCTATAAAGAGACAGAACTTGGCATGAAAGCTACAGAGTTGGAATATTTATCCATTTTGAAAGCAAGGCAAAAGCAGCACCACTGAAATAAAACTGCAAAATAAATTATGCATTTAAAAATAATATTATTAAACTCAGAAACCTTTTAGACCACTTTAAAATTGATTTTATTTTGTACAACTGCCAGTAGACAAAAATACATGCCTAGATTTTGAAGAACACGGTCTCTCTCCAGTTGAGTGTCCCGAATTTTATTTTGCAACATCATTAATTTTTCTTCATATTGTTGTTTCAGTGTTTGAAGGCGTCGCTGGCTATTTTCTAGTTCATCAATTAATTTCTGTTTAATTGCTATTTCACAGGTAATATTAGCCAGATCTGCCTGGTAATGCACTATTGAAAAGAAATACCAAGAATTATTATTTTTAAAATAAACAGTCAACTCTATCTTAATTCATTCTCATTAGATTAATGTAAATAATAAAATAAAGAACTGAAGGCCTGCTTCTAATTGATGCCATGATGCAACAAAACTTGGTAAGAAGGGGAAGAGATTATCAACTGACACTGGAGGAATGACTATCTTAACACAGAGCTAGTCATCAATACTTGCTGAGGGGTGGGAGGTTGAAAGAGGTGGATGTTATGCAGGCAATACAGAGTTCCAGAAAACGGCCATCAACAAAAGATCCTGATTGTATGCAAAAGTTGAATGAATGAGAAAGTCAATTTTACCCATCTAAAACAGAAAATAAAGAAAATAAAAAGAATCAATGAAGGAAAAATAAGTTGTTTTTCTTCAAAACTGCATAGATGGTACCAATAAGTGGGACTCCCAATCCTTTTGGGAAATAGGGTACAAGAATAATAACATTTGAACTTGTAGAGTTGTTAATGTTATTTTCCCATGTCTAAGATTTTACAAATTTTTACCTTTTTCATCAAGTTCCGAGTCAGATTCATCCGAACTTTCACTTATTTCTATATCCTCATCCTCAGCATCCTCTTCATCACCTTCTTCATGATCACTACATTCTTGACCTTCCTCCTTTAAAAGCGACATTTCAGACATTTATATTTGGACTTACTGTTATGATCAAAGTATGTAGTGGTTTATAAATGGACTTACCTCTTCTAATTCATTCTTTTCTTTTTCCTCGGTATCTCTCTCTTCTACCTTTGTCCCTTCATTGTCAATGTTCTCACTAATTACACTGTGAAAATATACAAAACACAAATTAGTGCAATTTCACAGGACCAGTTTAAAATCTTATTCGAAGGACGACATCGTGAACAATGTAGAGCTACCAAAAATTGCACTGGACTGTCAACCTAGACTGTGCTTAATGTCCTGACGTGGAGCTTGAACCCACAAGCGTCTGACTCAGAGGCGAGAGTGCTACTAACTGAGCCTGGCTGTTGGCTCAATCATAAATTAACAGGTACCATCCTTAATTGGTCAGCCTGGGTCATTTAGGAGCTCAGTGAAATTCGTATAAATCTGATCTGTAGAATCGCCGGAACAGTACATTTGGCCAAGTACAGTTGAATTTCCTATTAAATCTACTTAAATATATCTGCTCTAGTCATATTAACAATTGCGTAACTCGTAACACTGCTTCTGCCGCTACCACACTTACCGGCTGCATGGTCAAAACTTTGTTTCCCACGCCTACCTCAAATGGAACACTGCACATACAAACCCAATGCTCTCCACACTCTCCTTCCCTCCGTGTCATCGGGCATGGTAGCACAGGGGTGGGAGGTAAAGGGGGCTGGGAGAGGAAAGAGTGTCACCTGTTTATGTGGTGAGCGAGGGGGCAGGGAATGCCGGATCACATGGAGAGCCAAGGGGACAGGTCACCATGTATTATGAGTGGGAAATGTGCCTATTCATGAAATGACTGGAGCACAGTCTCCTGGCTACACGAGCAGTGCTAATTTGCCTGCTTTCAGGTTTCCTCCAACTGACAGCTATGTAAAGTATAAGGCTATACATATCTCCCTTTATAACTGAGACAATTATGTTGACTCTTAACATCCACCTTCAGCTTTTAAATAATTCACACATTTATATAGTCTCCCACTACAAGAAAAATACAATAAAATCAGGGAAGCCAACAGTAACATTCATTTAAAACATTTACAGATAATAAAACAGGTTGAAAAGTATATGAAAATGGTTGTTCTGGGAAATTCTGAAAATTTCCATTTTGAAACTTGGCTTAATGTTACTAACCAGTTCAGTACTGTGTATTTATGATGTGCAAGTCATATAAAATCCAACTTATACATAACTTTACATAAGTCATATATGATATGACTTATGCAAGTTTGACAACTTGTACTTTGCATAAATCAAATTGAGTATTTGGTCCCAACTGATATGACTTATTTGAGGTTTACTGTACTCACCTCTGAGTCAGAAGCTTGCTTATCAGTTTTGTAGTTAAGATACATTGCAATTTTTTATTAAAGGTCAATCTTACCTTTTCTTTTTTCTCTTTTCTTTTTTCTTCAGTCTTTCTAAATCCTTTTTAGCTACCTCCAAGACATCCATAACTTCTTTTTCGTGACTAAGAACTGAACCAGCAAAGGATAAAGTGGAAGTGCCACCCAAGTATGGAGATCTAGCTGAAGCTCTTGAAAGATTATGCCGAAGGTTTTCATTCATTGCTTCACTCTCATACAATTTAATTCTAAAAATGTAAATATCTAGTTAGGGATTTACTGAAGATTCGAAGGGCATAAACAATGTTAATAAAATGCTATATAAAAGTACTAAAAATATACACTTTAATATACAGAATATACTTTATACTGTATATTTTGTGGGCGAAATGCAGCAGCCAATTTCACACAGCAGTGTCCCACAAATAGTAATGGAATGAGTGTCCAAATTATTATTATTTATTGACTGTATTTAGAAGGGATTATTACACCCGGAAAAGCGATCCATCAATCGACTAACAACCTGGTTCCTGCTCACTGCTAGGTAAATAGAGTCGTGTGGAGTATGGAAACTTGCCTAATGTTTCGCCCTGCCTGGGAATCGAACCCAGATCCTTTCGCTTGTGAGGCGAGTGCTTTAACCACTAAGCTACAGGACTCCACAATATCAGATCACATTTCATTCACACACTGTTTTTATGGCAAACAGAAATTCACTAAATTAAATGAACAGTAGGCATGATCAAATTCTCTATATTTAGACTTGTAAAAATGATACCTACTCATTTGGTTATATTTATACAAATGGTTTCTGTAGGTCACAAACAAAATTCTATTAAAATTTGTGGGAATTTGTATTGGTTAATTTTCACTTTTATTTAAGTTGCATTTCATACCACATACGAGAAGTATACAAATATTTTGAAGACATGGATCATATTTCTCTTTACCTCCCCAATCATTTCTGGTTAATGAAAACAAGGTTATTGTTGCAACGGTCATCTCATATCATCTTAACTAATGGATATTGCTCATGTTGTACATGTCTAAGGTTCCCAACGTGCATTATCTTGTGATTTGTCTACATTACAATTCACCTGCCACTCCACAGCCCATCTGTTTAATTACTCCAGATCTTCTTGAATGTTATTTATTCTCCTTAAATTAAGTTAGTCTTTTTTTAAAAAAAATAAGAGTATCCAGGTATTTCTCCAATTCTCTTCCCATTATCCTATACTTCAGTTTCTGGTCCTAACCTCCTCATGATGGGGTGCAGTTCCTAAGGATCTTGTTTCCCTCTGATACTCCACCAAAGTGGTCAACATTCATGTACAAACCTCGACAGTGAGCGTCAGTAGGTCAGTCACTGCAGAGGGTGTTAAAGCCTAACCTTTCCTCACCCAATTTCCCACACATGCACAACCAGTAAGGGACCAAGATCCAAATATCTTCTTTCTCCATAACCCTGGGAAGGCCAGAGCCAATTTAACAGCCCTACTGAGACCAGTAAATTCAACATGGCCTGGGGATTTGAACCAGCGAACTCCTGTTCCATCATCTGCAGCTCAATTGACTACTTCATGTGACTGTTTCTGTTAAGGAGGTCTTAATGTTTCATGCTCATGTTGATGCATTAGTAAAGATTAATCAAATACTTTCTCAAACAGAGAACAAAATGTGAAAACATTTTCCAAATGGCAACAATTTTTTTGCTGACTTTTGCTCACACTTGTCCTGCAACTCAATACACAATATGTTCTTCTCAGTACTGGGCATAGCCCGAAATAGACAGATAGTATCACTGTCTATTTGGAGTTCTGCATCTGCCTTGCATCAACTGACTCTCACATGGTATGTTGCCTCCCTGGTGCCAGGTTTGAAGACATCACAGAACGGGTGCAAAACATTCCAAGGGGAAGGGGAACAGAAGTCGTGGTCTGTGTTGGGATCCATGACATAGGGAAAAAAAGGGCTGAGGTCCTACAGGAGTTTGGGAAAAAGCCAAAGACTAGGACCTCAAAGGTGGTGATCTCTGGATTACTCCCAGTGCTTCGGGCAAGTGAGTACCAAAACAGCAGGATCAAACGCATGAATGCATGGCTGGAGAAATGGTGCAGATAGGAGGACTTCAGGTTCCTGGACCATTGAGACCAGTTCTGGGGCAGGTGGGACCTGTTCAAGGTGGATGGGTTACACCTGAACAGAACTGGGGCCAATGTCCTCGCAGGGAGGTTAACTAGTGCTATGGGGAAGGTTTAAACTAATTTTGAGGGGGAAAGGGAATCAGGATGTAGCATCAGAGAGGAGAAAAACGTTACATAGAGAGATGAGAGAGATGAATAGCAATTTGATAAGGAGTAATCCAGAAAAAGTAGGGATTAGATGGGGGAGAAATGCAGAACAGACTCAGCCGGTCTTGGAGATCATGTGCGTAAATGCACGGAGTGTGACAAATAAAATTGGTGAGCTGCAGCCTCAAGTTGCCTCATGGGGTTATGATATAGTGGCAATGAGGGAGACCTGGCTCAAACAAGGACAGGAATGGGGGCTGAATGTTCCTGGTTACAATGTATTCAGGAGGGATAGGGAAGGAAAAAAGGAGGGAGATGGCAATATTGATTAAAGACACAGTTACGTCCCTAGAAAGGGATGATGTGCTAGAAGAGGGTCCAAAAACAGAATCTATTTAGTTAAAGAGCACTCTGGTATGTGTATATCATAGACCACCAAATAGTGGGAAGGAGACAGAGAAGCAAATCTGCAAGCAGATTTCAGAAAGATGCGAAGCCAACAGAGTGATATTAGGGGCCTTCAATTATCCTAACATAGACTGGCAAAATAACAGTGCAAAGGGCAAGGAGGGGGGAAGAATTCCTGAAATGTGTGCAGGATAACTTTCTGGATCAGTACGAGGAAGGAAGCAGTGCTGGATCTAGTTCTGGGGAATTAAGTGGTGCAGGTTTCAGTAGGAGAGCATCTGGACAACAGTGATCATAACATTATTAGGTTTACAGTATTTATGGAAAGGGACAAGGAGCAATCAAAGGTGAAGATACTCAATTGGAAGAGGGCTAACTTCAGGGAGTTAAAAAGGGACCCAGCCAAGGTAGACTGGAAAATATTGGCAGGTAAAACAGCTAACGAGCAATGAGAAGCCTTTAGGAGGAGATAGTTCGGGTAGAGAACAAATACATTCCCGCAAAAGGGAAAGTAGGACATCCAAACCGCGACAAAACAGATTTTAGAAAATATAGGTTAATAAAGGACTGCCAACACATATTTGTTAAAGGCAAATCGTGTCTAACGAACCTGTGAAGCGTTTTTTGATGAAGTAACAGAAGGTGGTTGAAGGTAGTGCAATTGATGTAGTATATATGGATTTTCAAACAGCGTTTGATAAAGTGCCACATAAGAGACTTGGAAGCAAAATAGCAGCTCATGGCATTAAAGGGTCCGTGGCAGCATGGATACAGAACTGGCTGGGAGACAGAAAGCAGAATGGTGGTTATGTTTGCTTTTCTGACTGGAGGGAAGTGTGCAGTGGTGTACCCCAGGAGTTGGTATTGTGACCACTGCTGTTTTTGATCTATATGAATGACCTGGACTTGGGTACAGGGAGTACAATTTCCAAGTTTGCAGCTGATACTAAGCCAGGAAAAGTAGTTAACAGTGAGGAGGACAGTAGCAGACTGCAAGGGGACATAGACAGACTGGTAAAATGGGCAAACAAGTGGCAGTTGAAATTTAATGTAGATAAATGCAAAGTGATTCATTTTGGTAGGAAGAATGAGGAGAGGCAATATAAGCTGATGGTACAATCTTAAAGGGGGTGAAAGAACAGAAGTAAATCTTTGAAGGTGGCAGGACAGGTAGATAAAGCTATTTAAAAAAGCATATAGGATACTAGGCTTTATAAATAGGGGCATAGAATACATAATTCAGGAAGATATGCTGAACCTTGATGAAACTTTGGTTAGGCCTCAGCTAGAGTACTGTGTTCACTTTAGGAAGGATATCAAGGCACTGGAGAGCGTGCAAAGGAGACTTACAGGGATGGTACCAAGAATAAGGGGCTATGAGGAGGCTTGAGAAGCTAGGATTATTCTCCTTGGAGCGGAGAAGGTTAACAGGAGATTTAATAGAAGTTTTCAAAATTACGAGGGGATTCAATAGGGTGAACAAGGAGAAACTATTTCCACTGGCGGGTGGCTCGGTAACCCAAGGACACTGATTTAAAATAGTTCTTAAAAGAAAGAGGAAAGGTGAGGAAAAAAAATTTCACACAGCGAGTTGTTCAGATCTGGAATGCATTGCCTAAAAGGAAGGGTGGTGGAAGCAACTTTTAAGAGAGAAGCAGATAATTACTTGGGGAGAACAAGTTTGCAGGGCTATGGGGAGAGAGCGGGATAGTGGGATTGAATTGGATAGCTCTTTTCAAAGAGCCGGCACAGACACAATTGGCTGAATGGCCTCCTTCTGTGCTGTCTAATTCTATGATTCTAAGTGATCACTCCTAATTATGAAATTTGAGAAATGTACATACTGGTATTAACTCGCCTCTTTATAATTTATATGCTTTCACCCGACATGTGGAGTGTACTGGAAATTCTTGAAAGATAATCCATTCATCCCCAAAGTGAAATAATGTAATGTTATGGTGTGGGGGAAACTATAAAATCAAATTGAATAAAATTGTTTTCACTGTTCAAACATAAAGCAATGGTCATTTGGTCACAATCTTTAAATCCAACTAGGATAGTCACTGTAATGAGTTAGTTCTAAGGAATATTTCACATCTAAAACAATATTTGTACATTATGCAGTAAGCTGCAAATGTACTCTGGTTTCATAACACAGCGCCTTGGGACGTCCTTCCGACATGAAAGATGCTAATGAAATGTAATATTGTATTTTTGTATAATTATTTTCTCTTAGATCCACAACACTGAAAAAAACATCAACCATAATAAAGCGTTAACTACCTGAACTTTTTTTTATAAGCAGGCTACTAATTGGAGATGTTCTCTGTTGGAATCCCATGACTGTCCTCGAAAAAATGCATCCAATTGATTTTAGCAAAAATAATCAGAAAGCATACTACTCCAGAAGAATGACATTTATTGTAACTTGGAGAAGATGTGTTTTGTAAAAATGCACTTGCATGAGATATACTGCTTTTAAGGGTCACCTTTTTAAAAAATAAACTTCTCACCACTGATGTGACCTTACTGAACTGCTATGAAATTTGGATACCTGCATAAAAACATTCCATTTAGTTTCTACAGTTTCATTATTCTTCCATATCTTGACTTAGACAATATCTCATCAACAATGTGAGCAATACTGCAAGCTTTTTCAAGTAAAATTACACGATTAGTTAGGTCCCTATTAGACCCGAGTGCCATTATAAAAAATTGTGATTAATATGCAAGTTAAACAAAACAGCAATTACCGGAGATCTTCAACCTCTTGGATATATTTCTGAATCATTGCACTAATTTCTTCATTTCCATCTCCTGTAATTCATGAGAAACAGAATATGTTTAAAGGAATATAATCTGTTCATGTAAATTACAACTTGGCAAATGCGCCAAAGCTAATTAGAACTTTCCCTTTGTAGACTTCATGCTAAATTAAAAGTATCTACACAATTACTAAAGAGGTTCGAGCAGAGCAGAGTATAATAAACCACGATAGAGGATCCTTTTCTCATTTCTAGTTCTGACTCTCACTTTCATACGTTCTCTTTTCCTAAACATTATCAAAATTCGCAGGAAGCTTGTCGTGGCAAGCTGTGCACTTTTAGTTGGCTAACTCTAGCATCACATTGATGCACTCTGGAGAACTCAAACCTTGGCTGTAGTCAACCTGCACTTAAATTCTTTGATTAGATCCTATACTTCTATTCTAGTCAGCCAGGTGATATGCAGGGTGTTTCCTGATGGATGTTCCTGATGGAAACACTCTGCTTATCACCTGGCTGACTACCAGTACATAATTTACATCAGACAAAACCCTACATATGTGGAACTCTCAGTATTCTGGTTTGTTTTTTCTTTGGTCACATGGGGAAACCCATCACTGTGCTTAAGAATATCCAAACTAAACTGAGAATTCCATGCATCCCACCTACTCATGGACATTCCAGAGATAGTTGTTGGAATGGAATGCACCACAGCCAACAACAGACTTAACACAGCAGATGCATTCTCTGCTCTGTAATGTATATACATATAAATTCTAGCTATTCAATATAGCTGGATTTTCAAGGCTCATTGTTAAGATTAACACAGTTTATTTGGAGTCCTGTTGCCCAGTGGTTAGAGCACTCGCCTCTCAAGCGAGAGACCTGGGTTTGATTCCCGGCAGGGCGAAACCTTGGGCAAGTTTCCTTACTCCACACGCCTAATAATAATCTCTCAAGAAAATAATAAAATTGATCACTCCAATCCACGACTGTTTGTGGGACACTGTTGTGCGCAATTGGCTGCCGCGTTTCGCCCACAAATATACAGTCAATTCACTTTACAGTACATTCTGTGAAGCGCTTTGAGATGTCTGGAAAACGTGAAAAACGCTATATCAAATGCAATAATAATAATTATTATTATTGTCTGTTACAACAGTCGAATGCAAGGCACATTAACACAGGGGACAGGTACAGCATTGTAAACCTTGTCCTGTTTTGATTGCTTATAGAATAAGCCAGGGGAGGAGGTGATAGATGAATGCAAACAAATTTTATCCTCTGCATAACACAATCCATCTGTACAGTGCACGAGCTATTGGATTCTAAACTATATGCATTCTTTACTCTGCAATGTATATACATGTAAATTGCAGCTATCCAGTAAAGCTGGAATTTCAAGGTTCATTATTAAGATTAACATAGTTGGCCGTTCTTGCAAGATTAACATAGTTGTCATTGTAACTCCTAAACACATAGTTGTCGTAACTCCTAAATAGATGAATGTGAGGCAGATTCATATGTGCAACTGCTTGGTGATAGAAACAACTGTTCCATGAACAGTCGTGGATTGAGTGACCAAATTATTATTATTATTTATTAGTTATTTATCAAGGCATTATTACCTCCGGACAAGCGATCCGCCAATCGACTAACAACTGGGTTCCTACTTACTGCAAGGTAAACAGAGGCATGTGGAGTAAGGAAACTTGTCCAACATTTCACCCTGCCCAGAAATCAAACCCAGCTCCTCTCGCTTGCGAGTCGAGTGTTCTAACCACTAAGCTACAGGACTCCACATTATATATTAAAAGCACCTCTTCCAAACAAAATAAATTAATTGCTCAAGGAAAAACAGAGAAACCCATCCTGAAATTGCAAAATGTATCATAGAAAGAAATTTGAATAAAATCTTAATAAGGCTTAAGTAATAAGCAAATCAATCCCTGACTACCCAGTGCCTTGGACGTCCTTCCGACGTGAAAGGAGCTAAACAAATGTAATTTGTTGTTGTAGCCCCACAGCTTTCTTTATATGTCGGATGTTGTTTGGTAACTCTCTCAATCTTTTGCCGAACATGTATAACATTAAAATACTAAACATTTTCTTCAACATATTACATAGTGATCTCAATTTACATCCAAAACAATGTCTTACTTTGAGTTGTCCTTACCTGATTTTGCAAGAACTTGGTTGACCTGTTCGCTCAGAAGCTGCGTTATTCTTGCCCTCAGTGACTCTATGGTTTCTTGCATAGCTTTAATCCTCATCCGTAGATTAGTATTTTCTGTTTGTAGCATGCCATTTTCGTGGAACATGTCATTGATGCTTTCCACGCCATCATCACCTATGATTCGCTTACCCTAAAGAATGTAATGTTCACATTTATAATTAGTTGATACAAGTATCAATTAGTTGATACTTGTAACTGTCTGTGGCATTTGAGAGTTCTTAAGGTAATATTAAGAAAAGTACAGCTAATAGTTATTATAACAGAGATATAATTAAATACTTGGATATGATCAATTAACAACTTTAAAAAGCCAGGTGCCTGCATATTCTCGTAGAAACCATAATTAAACTAATACATTTCAAACAATTATAAAACTTTCCCATGATCGTCTTCAGCTTGGAAGCTATTTCGCACTGGTATTTCTCCTTCACGAGTTCATAGATTTCATAGAATGTTACGGCACAGAAGGAGGCCATTCGGCCCATCGAGTCTGTGCCGGCTGTGATGGCAAGTTGCACAAGAGTGCAAAAATAGTGGATCAACGTTCAAATCTTGGTGTTTGATTGACTTCAGATATCTGGTTATCAGATCTTGAAATGCTTCAATCTATGAAAGCATTTCACAGAATTAATTTCTCACTTTATTGCTGCTGAATTTTATTTTAGCTTGAAACATTAACAGTAGATATAAACAGTTGAGCCCACATGGACTGCTGGATATGGGTCGGTAGCACCGGACATTACTAGTTTCTGCCATTGTGTCAGAGAAGAATAGGGAGAATAAAATAGAATATCTCTGCATTGCATATGTTGAGACAAAATATGTGAGAGACAGAATGTGTGTGTGAGGGCGAGGGAGGGTGGACCTGCGGGGGCGAGGGAGGGCGCGGACGGGTGAGAGTGTGAGAGAGCGCTCGCGTACATGTGAGAGTGCGTGAGGGCTCCCTGGATTACCCTAGATTATTATCCCCTGGATTACCAAATTCCTTTCCCATTTTCCATACATTCTCTTACCGTCTTGTATTCTGTAAGTTCCATCTGTAGACGTGCTATCTCACCCCTCAGCACACTGATCTGTTGGCTTGCTTTGTCTTGGTTGAGCATCACTTTGTTCTTAATGTTTCGTGCACGGTTTGCATACTTTAGTGTGTTCAAAGTTTCCATGAAATCTCGATCCGATGGACTGATGCAAGCGATCATAAATGTTTGGCTATAAAGATAAACAAAGGTTCAGTAACAAAGCACACCCCAACACCTACACAAATTATCAAATCACAGATATGCATTTTCTTTTAAGCTCTTTGAGTCACCTTCCGCCGTGAAGGGCGCTATATAAATGATAGTTGTTGTTATTCTTATTCATTGAGTTACAAGTATTAAATAGATGGGTGAACCAATCTAAAAGTCATTAAACAAATAAAAGCAGAAGAACCAATTCAGATTATTCTCGTATATTGGTTAGCGCACTCGCCTCGCAAGCGAGAGCACCCGGGTTCAATTCCTGGGCAGGATGAAACCTTAGACAAGTTTCCTTACTCTGCACGCTTCAGTTTACCTAGCAGTAAGTAAGAACCCAGTTGTTAGTCAATGGGTGGATCGGATTCCAGGGTTAATAATCCCACAAAAAAAATGTGGTCAGAATCCATGACACTATATGAGATGCTGCTATGTGCAATTGGCTGCCATGTTTCACCTACAAAATATACAGTCAATTCACTTTACAGTATATTTTGTGAAGCACTTTGAGAGCTTTAACTACGTGATAAGACGCTATATCAAATGCAAGGATTATTTATTATTTCCCCTAAGAACAATAGCATCAGAGCTTTAATTTCTCAAAGACATGATACCCTGTTAAAATATTTTCTTTTTGTTCTCCAATAAACTGTTGAAACATTCAATAATTATTTTTTAAACTAGCCTGATGCTCCACTTGTTTTATGAATTAGAAACTAGCATTGAGCAGGAGAATAATGATGTTCTTTCATCGCTGGGACATAAGTTTAAACAAGTAGACAGATTGGATAAAAGTTTCCTCTCTCAGTTGCTTGTATGTAAAACTGGTTTGGGCAATTTAAATCCAAGGAATACAAATCAACAACAGTGAGCTTGCTTGTTTTCTTCACAATTCATCAACAAATACAAGTAATTGGAATCCTTGAATATGTCAGAAAGAGAACATAACTGTAAGGTGATTATGCACATTTATAGGCTGAAGCTAACACCCAAAGGCTGAAATTCAGCTCTGTTAATCTGCAATTATAATGGAAGAAATTCTGTTTGAAAAATATCTTGAATGTCACTTTCTTCTCATTCACAAGAATTTCAGTGCAAAAGTATTCCATTCCTCAGTAATGACATTTCTCACAAAGCAGAGTAATATTCCCCAATGCACAACTTTAAAAATTAAATTTGAGATTTCTTTTAAGTGAAAGGTCATATATAAATATAATTTAATAACTAGCATTAGGAAATTCAGGAAGAAAATATTCAAAAAGGTCTTGCACTTTTAAAAGACAAGAATCTGCAATTTTGTTTGATCAACCTTTATTATTCCTCAATAATACATACCTATTGCCTCCCAAGGAGTCTTGCAGTAATCGTGTTAGTTTGGAGTCTCTATATGGCACATGAGTAGCTCGCCTACTTTTATCTCCAAGCGCACTTATGACATTTCCAAGTGCTAACTGTAAGAGGAGTATGAAAGGAAAATCAACAATTTAAACAAAACATATCAAGGTACATTGATAATTGGCTGCTATGTTTGCCCACAAAATATACGCCGTCACACCACTTTAGAGTATATCATGGGAAATGTTTTGAGAAACCTCAATGACATAAGGCACAATACCAAATGCAAGGATTATATTATTTTTGCGCAATAATTATTAGTGTTCCATATGTTGAGCATTCCTTCACTGCATGAATAATACAATGAGCGACAGTGGAGCCTGTAGCTCAGTGGTTAGAGCACTCGCCTCGCAAGCGAGACCTGGGTTCGATTCCTGGCATGGCAAAACAGTGGGCAAGTTTCCTTACTCCACATGCCTCTGTTTACCTAATAGTAAGTAGGAACCTGGTTGTTAGTTGATTGGAGGATAATTTTTCCTGGGGTAATAATTCCTTCCAAAAAAAATTTGGTCACTCAATTCACTACTGTTTGTGTGCAATTGGCTGTCGCATTTCGCCCACAAAACACACAGTCACCACACTTTACAGTGCATCTTGTGAGGCGCTTTAAGACTTCCCGAAAACATGATAAAGCGTTATATAAAATGCAAGGATTATAATCCAGAACAGGCTGGTTTATTACAAAAAAAAATTACAAACTGAAATTTGGGAAGTTGATTAGAATAAACCCCATTTTAGGCAACTGCAAAAAATCTCTCAAAAAAGTTTAATATTTCATATAATTTATCTATATTGTGAATAGTCTAGTTACTAGAGTGTGCTAAAAAAACAATACATCAAAGTTTTCACTTCAAACTCTGAAATTCAGTTAAACAGAGTGAGTGAAGGGTCAAGAGGGAAGTGGACAGAGGATTGAATGGACAGTTCACTCAGATACTCTAAACCTGTGTCCTCGTTTTATTGTCTTGTTGCATCCTATAGTATTGATCAAGGTTTACTGTTTCAATCCCATTAATGCTGGAAGATGCAACCACGTGATACAAACGCTTTTTATACTGAATGCACACCCGGCAAGACTGCACAATTAGCTTGCTCCCACTGTAAGATGTCTGCATTCTCTTCAACGGCTTGAGGAGGAACATAGGCAACTTGGTGGAGAATCTCTGGTTTAAAGTTAGATATATTTTTCTTTCATTTTTGACATCATCCCCACCATAAAATATCAAGTAAAACTGAGAGGCAGAAAAGGGAATACATTGCAAAAGAAAAAACTCCCTCAGGAATGACTTGCCAAAATGACTTGATCCATAGCCTTAAGGTCAGGACTACAGGGTTTGTTAACTGTGTTAGTTAATCCACATCACAGCCTGCCTAAACTTGTCTATTAATACAAGTTTAATGTAGCGGAATGGAAAAAGTTCCATTCCACTACATTAAACAGTCATGGAATGGAAAATGTTCCATTTATTGCTCTTTAGGATTTCTCAAAAGCATTTTGAAGCTGTGTGGAATATAATCTGCCAACCATCGCAAATATTGCTTAGATATTAAATTACCCCAAATTCAGGGAGAATATGATACAAGTGACTCTTGGTTTAGTCCGATCTACATGATAGGATAATTCTCTACATACATCAATATAAGGAACCATCTTTCTCATGTAGCTTTATATGGAGTAACAAACAGCAACTTTGAGTTATATGAAAATACATGACTTTCATTGTTAGGGTGCTTCCATTATACCAGAACAAATAGTGTTGATCAACTGACATGTCCTTAATGTGTAATACTGGAAGCTTTCCAAGGTTAAAGATCACAGAAGCTTAAGGGCTCATAGGAAGGATTGCAGTTTGGGGCAGATTTTTAAGTTTGTGCAATACCAATTTTATGTCTCATGGGGAAAAGAGAGAGAATCACTGATTCACAGAGCCTCCAAATGACTTTAATAAAATAAAAAATGAACAGCTGCTCTCATAGAAAACTACAATCTAGTTAGGATGCCATGCTGGGTCTGGTGGTTGAGGCAGAAACCATATTAGCTTTCAATAGGGAGCTAAACATCTAAAAACAAGGAAAATATCTAAAAAGGAGTCAACCAGAGGTAGTAAGAGCAGCTAAATGATACTGAAAGGATTGATTTAAAAGAGCCAGCATTGAAATAATAGGCCAAATGCCTCTTTTTTGTGCTGTAGATTTCTATGGTCCTATGGATAGCGCCAATGAAACATTATGCTCGGGGTTTTGTATGTCTTTTTTACTCTAAGTGATATTGCTGCTCTTGTCTGGTGAAGAGGAAAATCAGAACAATTGCCATTCTTCTTGGCAGATGGCTATTTCAAATATTTGTCCATTTGCTGTGGATTTAATACATTGAAACCCAACTGTTGGATGATTGCAGAGGTAACTGGAATATATTTAATCTTTTCAAGGTTGACGATCACTATGTACAACAAAGCTGTTGCCTCAATGGGGGAGGGGTAACGTAAAGAACACCCATGGAGATCTACAATACATATGCACACAGGGTGGGAGTTAAGCAGTATGTGGGGCTATGTTTTCAATAGCACAAGGTCACAGAGTCAAAATTGACTAAAAGGGTCAATGTCCCTTTACTCTGCACACATGGTGTATGGTTTATGAATAATGTTTTAAAATTTGGATGAAGCATCTTTATGTAGGGGTATGTAGCTGAAAAATACATAGTCCTTCTACTTAATTCATATCATTCTGAACCAGAATGTGCGAGGTAACCCAATCCCACTTGTACTGTACTCACTAAACCACAGTTAATGGAAATTCCTTCTTTTGCCCGATCTCCAGTGGCTCCTGTGCGTTTCAGCCTCTCTGAACCTGCCAGGTCAACAAAATGGAACTTGGCTGTAAGAGTTTCAAACTCATTCATCTGCGTTGATTCACTAATTGCTTTGTTGTCCAATTCCTCCTGCATTGAGAACAGAATTAAGTTTATGCATTCAACCAATTATACATATATAAATTTAAATAGCTAAAATCACATGTAATTTACAAAAATTATCCAGTGTGCACTTTTTGTGATGAACACAAGGCTAGTTTTAAAATAAGTTATATGATTACAATACAAAATATCCCTCAAAGATAAACAACTGAAAATGATTTTTTATTTTTAAAAATGTCACTGTTATCAGGTAACAAAACTGACATTTTATCAAGTCATGAATACATGAGAAACTTCCCCTAAATGTGTCAGCCTGGCTCAGTTCGTAGCACTCTTGAAGGTTATGGGTTCAAGCCCCACATTAAATTTCATTGGAGTCTCCAGCCTAACACTCCAATGCGAAGGGGATTTGCTACATTGTTTGAAGTACCATTTTTCAGATGAAATGTTAAACCGAGGTCCTAACTGCCTGTTCAGGTGGATGTTCAGCATCCCATGTTCCTACTCAAAAAGAGAAGGGAGTTTCTCCCAGTGTTCTGGCCAACAGTGATTCAAATAAAATTGGTCATTCTGTTTACGGGACATTGCTATGTGCCAGCTGGCTGCTGCTTTACTATGCTGAGCTTCAAGATGTTCATTTGATGTGAAAGTATACTGTAGGGGAACAAATATAGGCAGTTTATCAGCAAATAGATTGCTACACTGAAAAAGATGTAGAAAAGATGTAGAAAAGATGTAATAAGAAATATTAAACTTCTCTGCAACCTACTAATTTTTTTAATATTACATATTCGTAATATGTTGCTAAACAGGTTATGTTGGTCTCAAGATAAAGCACACGTGTATATTTGAATACTAACAATTTGGAAACTTACATCAGTTTTGACGCAAACACGCATTTGACATAAATGGATGGTAAAAATGGCATGAGAGCGAGAACTCTGAACATTCATTTGTGTACTAGCAGTGGTACGACACAGAGCACCCAGCTTCAGGCACTGCATCATCTGCAAAACAACAAAAAAATTAGATCCTCAGCTGAACTTAATTGGATATGTCTACCTGATTGAAAAACTAAGTTTACAAACTTACATCAGTTTTGACGCAGACAGGCATTTGACATAAATAAACAGTAAAAATGGCATGAGAGTGTCAACTCTGAACAGTGTCATATACATTTTATTTATTGAGATGCTTTTGATTTTAATGTATTCAAAAATCATACACAAAATTTACACAACTGATGTGCTTTAATTTGGACACGCAAATTCTGAAATCAATTCAGAACATTTCAGCAACATTATAAGATCATTTGTTTTGGTTCCGGTATGGTTTTGCAACCCATGCGATTTTTTTTATATAGTTGAGAAATCTCTAAGAATGACCTTTGATATTCCTCTTTGGAACAGGGAAATGTTTAGTTTACATGAACCAAAGAAAGAAATAGCAAAAATAGTTTACTGTGCAACAATTGTTGCCAGACATTGCATTTGCATTTTACCGTTACAGTCTTACCTCAGCTTCTGAGTTAATGGTACGAGTTGTTACTCCTACAGTGTAAATACCTCCATTTGCATCTTCATGGATCTTTATGTTTGATTTTTTGTTTCTTGCATCAAGATCACGAACTGAATCAAACAGGTCAAGAATTTCTTCATTATAAAGCTTGAAGAGATAAAATAAATATCAATTGGTGATTAGAGAATTGCTGCATAGGAGATAGTATAAAGCAAACATTTCAGAACATTAAGCACAAAGATTTTGATTACCAGACATTAACTGAGAAAACAGCAGCAATGGGAAAACTGACAAGGCATCTATAGTTTTCAAGATCTTTCAAAATTAATTCAGTTTACACAGTTTGTTAAACATCCAACATAGTGTGGGGCTATTTTGGATCTAATATTTAATAATGGCTTGGGTATGGCACATTAATGCAGAGAACATTCAGAAACCAATAATTCTAAACTGGAACTGATATGCTCGTAAGGGTTTGCAAAAGTTACAAAAATATCAGGTTTAAGAGGTGAGTGCAAGAATGTGAAATATTTAAGATGTTGTTGATGGTGAGGTTAAAATCGAATCAATGGAATTTTACTTTCAATCCAGGAGCCTCTCACAAACTTAGCAATTATACACAAATGTTAAAACAGGAAATTCATACCAATCTTTCTTAAGACTTGTACTTGCATACTTTGTTTTAAGTGCTAATATACTCACTTTCTAACTATTTCTGGCACATTGTAAGCTCGTTTGTTTGCCTCAAAATTAGACTTTGACTTCAATTACTGACTTCTGGTAATTCTTCTGCCAGTCACTATTTAATTTGGCTACTTCTACGGCCATAAATTCTGGCTTCCCAGAATGATTTTTTTTAATGAGCTAGCACTTAATTTCACTCTTAGATTACTATGTTTAGATTTGAAAACCTATATTTCTTACTTGAGATGTTCTCTGTAATGTTATACTTCATGGTTTCTCTCTACTTCTCCAATTTTCTTCTTCGATAAATACAAATTTACATTCACATTTACATTGCTTTGCTTGTATTTATAATTTAGTTAAATCTTATTTTCAGACAGATATAATTTTTAGCTTCTAAGAGTATGTTGTTCACATCTCCGATACTTAACACTTTTCTATTTAACCATATTGGCCTCTGCAGCTCTTAATTCTATTTGATTTAGTGACTGTTTGACAGTTTTCTGTGAGCTCTCCCAGAACAGACACTTTTTTTAATATAAGCCACTATTTTTCAACACTTGGTAAACGCAACTGTTTGTGAAAACCGGAGAAGCATGATAAATGTTTTCAAGTCAGGATCCTAGAGAAACTTTGAATTTTTTTAAAAATGTTTTTGATACAGTCCATGTGGTATTAAGTGAAATTCTGAAATTTATAAACTTAAGCATTGAGTCAGCATCATATTAATGCAGCAAAAAACATGTGCTGTACAAGTCAATCCTGGATTATTTCCAGTGATATTAGACATAGATTTTAAGACTGGACTCATCGTCCATTCTTAAAATATTGGTGCTGAACACTGTTGACTGGAGTGAAGCCAACTAGGCTAACTAATTTCACAGGCTGTTTAAAGGGAGAATGCTTTGGCTATTTTGTTAGCATTGTGGGATATATTATTATTACTACAACGAGGCTGAATTAATTAGAAAGAAGGCAATCAATTTCAATAGAAGTGCATATTTTAAAATTTAAGAAATTTATCAAGCATTTATTACAAACTTCAGAAATTATTCCAATATCTTCCTTTCACTTTTGATCCTCTTAATCTTAAGAACCTTTTTGTTTTCAAATCCAAATTACATTAAAGAACTACTGTATCTGCATCACAATATATGTTGTGTCTAGGAAATGTTAAGTATTTTTCCCAAGCACTTGATTTTTACCAACTAAAATGCAAGTATGTGGACTAAGGAAATAAGGCAAAATAGATAAGTGAAGCGACTACCACTTATTCATTCAATTGAACTCTGCAGTTATTTAGGACATTTAGGACATTCACATCATCAATATATTCTATATAATATACAATCCAAACATTTAATTCTCAACTTGATGAAACACATTCAGTAAAGTTCAGCAGTGAAGACTCAAACATCATCAGTTAAGTTTAGTAACAGGAGTATTTTCATACAGTACAGAATGCTTTTTATATTTGCCTAGCTAAACCAACAGCTGTCAAAGGGGTTACACGGTGTAAAAATCAGTAATATGGATAACGGTTCCTATGATACCACTATAAATCAACTGGACATGTTGAAATCTTGCTAAATATAAACTGAGCACAGCAATTCTGACCCTCATAAATAACAGGACCTATCATACCTCAAGAAACTGAGCATTAACTTTAAATTCCGGTGGTGGCAGTCCACTTTCAATGGCAGCTTGCTTGCGTTGCTCAATACCAAGATAAAGGTGTTTGACAGCACGTGGGATGATACCCTGCTCAATTTCAGTACTGTTGACATCAAATCCTGTCCCCATGGTGTAAGTCTTCCCAGATCCAGTCTGTGAGAAGACAAGTTGGCAAAATTACTGCACATAAAATAATGGATCATTTAGAAAATGCCAATTTATTCTGCTTGCATTTCTTAAAAGATGATTTTACTTACAAATTATACAATTAACACCATTTCCCGCAAAGTTCACAAGATTGGTAGATGAGATGGGTGGATACAGTAATTTCCCTATAAATAGATGTGTTCAACACCCAACAATCCACAAAACAGTGGAGAAAATTAGAAGAGATGAAGAGTCTTACAAAATAACTAAATATTGTATTTATCAATTTAGTGAGCACAAAGAAGATAAACCTCTAAATGTGAAGGATTTTATTCCTTACATTCCTGTATAAACCCAGCTTAGGCCACCTCTCACTGGTACACTATGATGCATTTGGATTATTACACATCAACATGAATCTGGAAATACATAAACTGGCAGTCAGTACTTCATAAGTATGCAATAGTAATAGTGGTAGCTGTTGGCTAACATTTGAGGCCAATCACTGTCTAAAAAGGCAGTTTTTAAAACAATATATAAAATCTTTGCATGTGCAAGTTTTCTCCTCAAAAATTGATACAGAGAACTATCACAAAGTGGAGGATACTTACCTGACCGTATGCTAAGACTGTGGCATTGTATCCCTGAAGACAACCATCAATAAGCTTTTCTGTGCACTTTGCATAGATTCTATCCTGCTGAGTGTCCATATCGAAAACAAAGTCAAAGGTAAATGCTTTATCCTTTCCAAGAATCAACTGGGGTTCCCCGGGGATAACAGAAGTACAAATGTGACATCCCTCAATCTTTTCTTTAGCAAGTTGTGGACGAATTCTGTGAGGAAAAAAATGACAGTAAGCAACCATGAAAACATGTGAGGCATATGAACTTATTGATAATTGAATATCTGCCCTGAGCTTTGAAGTTATCACAAAATGAAAGCTAAAGATGACAGCACTTCCTGTAATATTATTTACAAGTAAGTTTTCTCCAATCAAACACAACACAAATGTGCACACCAACAAATGTTCCCTTGTAGATGTTATTGGTCAGATCAAATAAATATAAGTAGCCCCTCACTGAAAACCAAATTTGCATCTCTACATACTGAGTGCCTTCATCAATTTAAGGCCAATTCAGTTTCAGTTTAATTATTTGTAAAAGTTACATTATTATTAGTTTGTGTACTTCAACTTATGGTACAAAACAGAACATGCAGGAGACTCAATATATTATTGCAACAACCAGAGCAACCACATAGGCAATGCCAGATCCAGTTGGGAGTTAAATATGGCGTCTACAGGGCATGGTCTCCATTACAATTCCACACCTTCCAGTATCTCTAAATCAGTTAGCTAGTTTACAAAATCCTCTTTTAGTTTCAAGACTAGATAGATAGGTATTTGAAAAGAAAAAATTTGCAGGGGAATGGGACTGATTGGATAGCTCTTCCTAAGAGCCAGCACAAGCACGATGGGCCTTCTGTGCTGAAATATTCTATGAATCTACGAAGATTACGTTTTCCGCGATTCAATGAGTCTTAACCAGTCGCATGAGTACTTCCCGGCAAACATTGGAATCGCATTGAATCGCGGGAAATGAAGTTCAAAGATATATCAAATGCTAGAATTATTTATTATTTATTTTTTCTCTAATACCGGGAAATAATTTCTCTTTTGTTCAGGGCTGTGAATAGACTTTCTTTACAAGTATTTTATTTTCGGTTAATGAAGTGTGTTGTAGTTACTTATAATAATAATAATCCTGGCATTTGATATTGCACTTTTCACGTCAGGAGGACGTCCCAAAGCGCTTCACAGAACACACTGTAAAGTGAATTAACTGTATATTTGTGGGCGAACGCAGCAGCCAATTGCGTACAGCAATGTCCGACAAACAGACGTAGATTGAAAATGACCAATTTAATTATTGTTTTTGGTTTTGGAGGGATTATTATGAGGCGTGTGGAGTAAGGAAACTTGCCCAAGGTTTCGCCCTGCCTGGAATTGAACTCAGGTCTCTCGCTTGCAAAGCGAGTGCTCTAACCACTGAGCTACAGGGCTCCACAAAAATTACTTGTAAGTAATTCTACAAAAATTAGTGTCTGAAGGATTTCAAAAGCTTACTTGATACCCATTCATTGTAACATTCTCAATACAACTGTTGGACAAGCCCAAGTAACCAACAAAGAGAATTTTAAACAATACCCATTAGTATTTTTTACTTTCCCTTTTTATTAAATATTCCTATTTCATTCCTTTTACATTTTGATACTTGTATTGTTCTAATGATCCTCCCTTCCCACACTCTTAAGAACAATGACATTTGGCCTTTGTTGAAACTAAGCTAATCAGTGCCCAGCCCTTAAATTTTCTCATCCACCACTGCCCTAATATTGCGATTAAAAACCTATATGCTATTCTGGTTTTCTCCACTCTTCACAGATAACTCTTAAATTACTTAATTTAACCTAAAGAATACACAGTCACTACACTTTACAATAAAATCCTGTGAAGTGTTTTGAGACGTCTCAACACCTTCTCAAGGCATTATATCAAATGCAAGGATTATGGTTATTATTTGGTGCTAAAGATGCATCAATATCTGGTTTCATACCCCACATAGATTGGTTTTGCTACATGAGAAATTAGGGATCTGTATCTGACCAGTAAATTAAATCTACTGATGTACAGGTTTAATCTCCCGCTACCTACCCGCCCGTACCCTCCGTTCCTCTGGCTCCGGTCTGCTCCACATCCCCCGCCCCAACCACCCTACCATCGGTGGCCGGGCCTTCAGCCTCTCAGCCCCCAGGCTCTGGAACTCCATCCCCCAGTACCTTCACCGCCTCCTCCCTTTCCTCCTTCAAGACCGGTCTCAAGACCTTTCTCTTTGACCGAGCCTTCAGCTCCCCTCTCGACTCTCTACCCCCTCCTCGCTCCCTCCCTTCCCTCCCCTCACCCTGACCATTTCCCCCCTGCTTGGGTCCTGACCCAACTGTCCAGCATCTTGGGATGTCCTCCCGACATGAAAGGCGCTCTATAAATGAAATCTTCTTGTTGTAATCTCAGTCAAAGATAATGCTTCCTAATTTTGGGGGGACAGCTGGGTGTCACATGCGGAAACCAATCACCATGCTTAAATATATCCAAACCAATCAGAGTTCCATGCTTCCCATGGAAATTCCAGAAATATTTATTGGAATGAACACTCTCTCCCTGGAAGGATGCAGAAAGTATCAGGCACATGCTGATAAGAGCCAAGGTTTGGGGACCCCAGAGTGTACGTTGAGGTACTGATGGAGTCTATCCAGCTAAAAAAAAACATATAGCTTAGCATTGAGACCACTGTCTGGCAAGCTTTCCCGCTGTTTATCCTGCTAGAACTACTAGGGCTTTGACTTGCAGGGTTAACAGGAAGTGAGTGGGAAGAATCCCTGCCCCCAGTGACTGGTCTGTCTTTCCAAGTCCTGCCGATGAGCCAGCCTTGGCGTGCTGTCAACAACAGTGCCCTAGAATACTATGGACCCGCCTGGCTGAGAAACTGGTCTTCCGAGACCGCCACAGAGAGTGGGTTCGATTCCGACATTCCATTGCCAAACATGTAACCTTTAGCCAGTTCAGAACCCAAAAAATCCGGCTTACCCTCCCCACTTGCCCAAGATGACAGTCACTAGATAGTCATTTAACATTTCACATCTGACAAGTGTCTTCCAACAGCTTCTCCCCGAGCCTCAGAATTTCCTCATCAACTACCTGACGGATGTCTACCTTCAGTGTGATGGGAAGAACTTTACATTTCAGCGTGTGACATGCCAGCCACCTGGATGTTCGAGGTCTAAATACAATGCCGTATACCAGGTTTACTCAGCACCAGGTGCTTAATCTAGGTCCTCGTGTGAAGGCCCTTGGTAAATAGATCACTGTGCCCGCTGTGAAGCCAACTCTGTCTCCAGGGTGCTCAGCGGCAGGTCAGTATGGGCCAAAGCCCTTTCTCTCCCTGCAGCCGTTTCCCATGTTTGCCACAAATCAACTTCACTGCTTGATCGTGGACTTTACAAATGGGCCAGAGAAAGCCCATCTGTTACATCCCCTGGAGCTCGGATCCATAAAGGAGGACTCTTTGTACACAGATCTTATTGGGATCTGCTGTCCTTGAAGAGAAGCTTCCCCAAAGTGATGAGCTTCAGATTTTGACTCAATCCCAAATTCAATCCCTGCTTTGTGTTATTAGCCAACCTATTATCCAGTTATGGATACACTACAACCAGCCAACATAAGACCTGTGTGCAAATAGTCCTCCTTTATCTTATTGATAATGATCACTTTTTTAAAGAAAAAAAGCACTTGACATTCATTGCGTGAAAAAATCAAATGTACATATGAAGAAAAAAATCTTTGCTTGAAGGATGCTGGGACAACCAACAAATGAGATACTTCTACAAGTCAAACACTATTGTATGCAGTGTTTCCGAGTACGGTTTACACAAATAACCCTAGAAGCTATCATGGAATGTTAAATATTTGACTGGAATTTTCTTAACATGAGACATTGTAATTGTGGTGACTGGTGAATTGCTGTATCAGACAGCACACTACACAATATATTCAGTGTAAATAAATTGGTAGAAAGCCAGTAATCATAACATTTTAACAGCAGAGTGCATTGTGCTTACTGAATGGGAGAACAAAGACATTCAGAAATTAATAAATCATTGTTTGAGACCTTCATACTTATGACAAACTGCCTGAAAAGATTTTTTAAAATCCTCCTGTGGAAGATTGGGAATGGTTTTAATGAATTTGATCAGTGCAATTTAACACTGGCTCTCACAGTACATGTTATCGAAGCAACAACATCAACAAATGGCATTTTTATTCAACTGTAGGAAATTGGCTCTTATCCAGAGTCAAAAGTGTGGAGGGAAGGATAAGTGGAAGCCAGATGGGGAGGGGGGGGATTGGGTGGTGATAGAGAGGGCAGAGGCAGCAGAGCAGATCCCCTTGATTTTGGACTTGAGGATGTCCATCATCTCCTCACATTTGGAGTTAGAGGATGGCCGAGGCATGGGAAGGTGGACCCAGGAGCTGGTTTGTAGTAGAGCCTGGGATTGTCCTTTGCTGTCAAGATCATTTTGCATTAGAGAAACAAATCAACCTTGGACATTATAGTAACAAAACCTTGCAGTTCTGCTTATTCTGAAATTCATACATAAAGTTCTGGTCATGGTCACTGTTAGAAAAGCATTTAAGTACAGGAAAGCATTGAAGATAATTTCAATATTTAACCTTCAGCTTTTATGTCTGTGTTGTAAAAACATGTTTTAAAAAAATTGTAAGTGCTTCAGACAACTATTTTGCACAAATCACCAAATTTATAAACACAAATCATTGCATTTGATACAGCACCTTTATCACTGTCGAAACGTCTCTGTTATATGCTCAACTACGTACTGAAAATAAGAGTTTTTTCTAGGAAAACTGTCGAGACTCAATACTGTTCTCTGAACCACTCCTGCTCCAGGATTTGAAGATAATAAATCCTCAATGTTCTGTAACACAATGTGATGCTGCCAACCAATTTTTGTTCTCCATTCTGTTATAATATATCAATTATAATCCTTTCAAAATGCCTGATGAAAAAGATTAAAAGTGGCAGTTTTGCAACACACAAACATTTTATCTATTCAAATGACTAGGTCAATTAAACAACAAATATGACTGGTATTGTTGAATGTTGTATAACCACACAACATTCAACAATACTGCTTAAAGTTAGACACTGAATAAGATAAGATAATAATATTCCTTCCATTTGATATAGCACCTTATCAC